CACTGCAATCCTAGACTCACCCAAAACCCTACAGCATAAACCCTTCAAGAATTAAAACAAATAATTAAAAACAACTGATTACGAAGCTACTCATTTGAGCTAAGAAACTTACATAACAAAGTGGTTAAGCAGTGAAGATCAACGTACAGTAAACCAATCGAAAAATGCTTTAAGCTTCCTTCTTATTGTTCTTCCTCTGCGTCCCCGACAAGCGGTCTACTTTTTCTTTATTTTCCCTTTTCCCTCGTATTATGAAAAGTCCTCGAAGATTACTACTGGGAAATGTCCACCATTAGGCCGCCATAGACACAGTTCATGGGCTAATCTGAGTGCCCAAAAAGATGGCTTTAGGCCCACAATCATCTAGACTCAAATAGTCAAATATAATGATGTCATACTTGAACTATTATTCTGAATATTATTACAGTATATATAATTTTTAATTAATTAATTTAATAATTATTAGCAGTGGTATTCAAGTAAAACAATAATATTTAGATATGACACTTATTAACAATATTAATTTCAATATCATAATAATACACCTAATGGTACTTTAATTAACACATGAAACATTTTAATAAAGTATATATATCACATTTGATCTTTTGTCAAAGTACAAGTATTATATTCGATATTTTATAAAAATTTATTATATTAAATATTTTAAAATTATATATCACATATTAAATATTTAGTTAAAAATATAAGTATAAGATGTAATATTATCCCTTTTACAATTAATATGAATAGTAAGCATGTTAAATTTTTTCTCGAAAAGCAATATATATAAATATATATATAATATAAATTTTAGGTAAATATGATTTTTTTTGTTTCTTTAACATTTATGTGTAATGTGAAAGTTAATTTTTTGTGTAATTAAGTATTTAACTTTTAATAGTATAATTAGATATTTGAGGTTTTCTACGCAATTAGGTATTCAGTATTTTTTAAATTATAATTGATTTATATATTCATAATTTTAATACCGTTTATTTACAAATATTATATTTGTTATAGATTCAAAGGTAAAGCTTTAAATTTTTTTAATATAGCACGTGTAATTTAAAAATAATAGACATCTAATTGTACCAAAAATAAAAGTCGGGCACCTAATTGCACCAAAAAGGTTTTAGAAACTAAAAGTTATATGTATCCTAAAATTTTACAAAAAATTTAGAATCATTTCAAATATTTTGGCATCCATATCTATATTGTATATATATTTTTATTAATATATTCTATTAGGGTTTAAGGTTCTTTTTTTTTTTGCTTTAAACGTGGTTGGTTCTTCTCTTCAACTTTGATTGATAAATGGTAGCATCAATCTTGATGTCGGTTACACCCGCTGGTATTTCTTGTTTTTATTTATTTTCTTATACTATATCTTTGATTTTTTTTCAATTTTTAATAACACTATCTTTATAGTACATTTTCTCTGTCTTTTAGTACATTTTTTGTTGTTTGATCATTATTTTTGTTTATTTTTTTTCCTCAGGATTGGGTTTGATATTCGCCACGACTGATTAAGATGAAGCTTATTTGTTATCATGCCTATCTTCATTGCTTTGGAATCTCGAATTGAATTTGGACGCATGATTTGCGTTCGTGGATTATTTTCCCACATCGCTCAACTCTGATTTACGATTTGTCAATAATCTTTCAATAGCTCTATCCCTTTTATAGTTCGTTTACCGATACAGTTAGATCTATTCGTATCTATCTTTTGTTCAAGTTTTTGATTAGGTTTTTAACATTTTACTCTTTGTGTGATCTTAATTGACTATTTTTTGTGTTGTTATAGAAAAATATCTTAATTATGTGTTTAGTTTACGATTATGGTTGTATTGTAATTATGAATATTTCATTTTTTTAATAAAATTAACTTGTTTAAAAAAAAACCCTTTGATTGAATTCTTGTCGCAAACTAATTGGATATGTTAAAGAAATTAAAATATCATTCTTAAAAATATAATTAAATTAATATAAGATTATTTTATTTTTGTATCGTGACGATGACCGTGGTCGGATATGATTTGGGAAAATTATTCCTAAAAATTTAAAATTTTCATATATTTTATAATTTTATATGTTTTTTTTGTATTAAAAATATATTTTCAATCCCTCATTAAATTTTAGAAGTTCATTTCTCCTAACAAAAAATTCTACTCGTATCCGTTGTACCCCATAGCTCGTCGGCGAAGATACTCGCAGGCATTTATGCGTTCTCCGGCACGGCTCTCGTCGGTTTAGAAGAAAAAAATTAAAGACTGCCAAAGAACACAGAGAGAGACAATCCAACTACATGTAACATCACTATTCGGAAACATTCAATTTTCAAGGGACATTAGACATTGCTTTCCACATTTTGTAAGGCAAGTTTAGAAGAATTACAACCTTTTCTGTACAAGCAATGCAAACTAGGAACCAGGCCGGACCATGTTGTTTTTGCTCACTCAAATCACCGAGGCTCCTCGTCCATTTGCTCCGGTCTGGCGGCTGAAACGTAGTCCAACAGTCCTTCTCCGGCTTTTTCACCATGAGCTTCGGTCGCCAAATGCGAAATGTCATTATCGCCACCAACAACACGGCCGTGGAAGCGAAAAGAGGTCAGAAGTAGGCGAGAACGGTGAGCAGACTCGGAGCTGCGTACGATAGAAAGGCGACAATCGATGAGACGAGGATCGTTACGATGAAATGATATCGGTATGGGTTCAGCTTCGGCTGGATATCAACTGGCTTCATTGCTAAGGAATAAGAAATCAAGCAAGGGAAGGAGAATTGCATGTGAGCATATGATGTGTAATGTGGAATGTATTAAGATTGTATAAGGTGGTTTGAGAAAACTAGTTTGCTTTCTACTTACGTTGTGTCTTGTTTTTCTTGGAGACATTATTCTTCTTTCCCCCTACATAATTCTACTTCCATTTTGGCTCTATTTTCTCTAATTACATTTATAGCCTTCCAACTTTTCAAACTATTAAACGGTCTAATTTGGTTTCAGTCCTTTTACTTATTCAATCTCTCTATTTTAATCTGATACAATTTGACCATCTACTTTTCTTTTAATAGTTTATGATGATTACAAAGTATTATCTATTCATAATCTTTCTTAGATATTAACAACACACACCTACATACGCAACTATTTGAACCCAAACCCTTTTAGGGGAACAAAACTCCCTTAAACTATTGGGACTACTGGATGAGTTCTTCCATACTATCTTACTTCTCCCTTACATATGGGAATAAGGGTCAGCTAATTTTACTTAAGATGACCAAAAATAAATAAATGAATTTGCATATGAATTAAATGCTTAAAGGTGTTTTATGAAAAAAAATGCATATTATCACTTTAACCCCTTAACTTAAATTTATTGACTTTACTATTAGACCAAACGCTAACATTATAAGAGTAGATGACTAGATTATGTTAAATTAAAGTAAAGAGATGAAATCTCAAATTTCAATATAATAGAGGGAGTAAAATCATATTTAAACCTAATATCAACAAGTTTAAAATTAATAAGGGTAGGTCGATTGAACATTAATTTTGAATTTGGATTCGAATTTTGTACAATCATTATTGGATTCTTCTTTTAAAAGAAGGAAAAGGAATGATGTGTGTTGGGAATATATGCTTTGTCCACTACTAGGATTGGGCGGTTGCTTTGTCCTTCTGGCTGCTGCTCTATGGAAATGAAGATTAAGATTAGATTAGACATAATGATAAAAATACCTTCTAACGTTGTATAAATAGTCATTTTATTTCTTATTTTTTCTTAGACAATTTTATCCCTTAACTTTTAATTTTTGATCAAAACAAACCATGTTGGATGAAAACCGTTAGTTGACTAACAATCAATCTATGTTACTAACGTGTCATTTGTCGCGTCACCCAAAGTAATGATATGGTATGTATCATGTCAGTAACATGGATTGATTACAACAAACGATTTTTATTCTATAGGGTATGTTTTGACCAAAAATTAAATGTTAAGAGATAAAATGCTCCCAAAAAATAATATATTAAAAAATAATCATTTGTGCAAACGTTGGGGTAATTTTATCATCATGACATGCCAAAATTAGCCTACAGTATTTATCAAAACAATCGTTTTGGTCCTCTCTTCTTTTTCTAGAGCATTTTGACTCAACGTTTCATTTTGGGGGTAAAAATACCACTCTATGGATGAAAATCGTTAGTTGAACACATAATTAATGTTCCAAAATATGATTCTTTTACCCTAAAATAAAACGTTGATGCCTAAAATGTTCTAAAAAGAATAAGGCCAAAATAACTATTTTGTTAACTGTTAGGGGGTGATTGGATCATGGAATATAAGATTCCTGGTGGGTATTTTTTTTTCTAGATTCAAAATCCCATGTTTGGATGGGAAATATTCCCTCTAGGAAGGAATAATATATTCCAAACAGTAAAAAAAATTCTCCGTTTATTAGGAATGTTATTCCCATGCTTTTCTTAGGTATTCTTTTATTCCCTGTTCTATGGGCTAAAATACCCTCTTTTCCCGTTTACCTCCGCTTTTTCTCCCAAGCGTTCTTTGTTCTTGATTTTGATTTCACAATCTTATCTCCAATCCAATCTCTTTGATTTTCCACCGTTAATTCTTTCATTCTTGTATCTTCCACGATTCCAAGCTCTCTCTCTTATCTTCTCTTAAATCCCATATTTTCCCCAGATTTTTTTCTTTTCTTTTCCTCCCCTCTTTTCTCAGGAAAGAACGAGAAAGGAAACTTGTTTAAGGTATACCCAGATCTTGTTCACTTCTTGCTTCAGTTTTTATCGTTTTCACAAGTTTGTAAACTGTAGGTTTCTCTTGATTTTCTGAATATCCTCTGTTCTATTACTTGGGTGTTTGTTTCTCAGGAAAAAAAGAGAGAACCTTTTTACTTCTTGGGGTCCAGTTTTTCATCATTGTCTCAAGGTTTTGAACAATGGGTTCCTCTTGAATTTATGAAACAAGGGGAAATATTTGGTCTGGAAGAGTGATTTCAATCAAAAGATCCAAGCTTTAGTGAAAGAAAAAGAAAATGAAAATCTAGTGTGATGTTTGTGAAAGAGCACAAGCAACAGTGATATGTTGTGCAGATGAGGCTGCACTTTGTGCTAAATGTGACATTGAAGTTCATGCAGCTAACAAGCTTGCAAGCAAGCACCAAAGGCTTCTCCTTCAGTGCCTTTCCAACAAGCTTCCTCCTTGTGATATTTGCCAGGTTCAGAATTTCGCTTTTTCTGGTTTATTTCATGAATTTTTTGTAATCTTATTTATCACTAGCGTTACGAAATCCGAACATAGTAATAGTATAAGAAATTAATCACGTCGTACTATGGATTTGAATCCTCTTAATACATGCTGAGTTTGAATGTTCTAACATAGACTGTGAATCTTGTGCATATATGTCATACAGGACAAAGCAGTTTTCATCTTTTGTGTTGAAGATAGAGCCCTTTTCTACCGTGATTGCGACGAACAGATCCATCCTGTCGGTAGCCTTGCCGCGAACCACCAAAGGTTCCTCGCCACCGAAATCTGAGTCGCCTTGAGTTCGAGTTGCAATAAAAAGACTGAAAACAATGTGTTGGAGCCACCCAACAAGAGTGCACCTCAGACTTCAATGAAAACGCCGCAACATCAGCACTCAAGCTTTGCTTCCCAATGGGCTGTTGATGATCTGTTAGAACTCTCGGACATTCAATCTCTAAACAAGGTGAGAAACTATTATTAATCCAACACTACGATTCGAGTTCGATTGAATTTTATTCGTCTTCCAATAATTTTTTTGTTCCTTGTTTTGTCGCAGAAAGAGCAGTTTGAGCTTGGAGAGCTTGAATGGCTGGCAGACATTGGTCTTTTCGGTGATCAATTGCCTCAGGAGGCTTTAGCACATACCGACCTACCCATGCCTCTTAAGAAGCCTAGAATCGAGATCCCAGACGATGACGACGAGTACTTCATGGTCCCTGATCTAGGATGAGGTTGTATGCGATGTGATCAAACTATATAGTTTCATATGTACGCATAGCATCTCGTCTTGCTTTCCGATTATGTTGCCTTCGTTTTTCTTTATAGGAACAAGTTTTCGATGCGCTTTCGAACATGAACATACATATATGATCTTCAAGTTCATGGGAAATCATACTGCAATTTCATATAGATTTGGCTTGATCAATTCTAGAAGAGTTGTTTTTGAGGTGAATAAGATACTATTTGTTCAAAATCTTTTTAGCCTATTAATAATATATATATACGTTTTACAGAAATTGTTTGAAACCCGAATCTTTTAGGAAGAATAATAGTCTTTTTATACTACTGATGTTACTCAACATATTAATGAAAGTTATAGTTGTGTTTCAATCCCATTAAGGAGAATAATATTCTCTTTTACTATTGGATTTACATGTAAATTCCCGTTGAGTGACTCATATACCAAAATTAGATGTGCGACGTGAGTCGGTCCGGTTTAGTCGGGAAGAAGACTTGGAACCTGAAGACAACAAAAAAGAATTAAAAAAAAATTAAATAAATAATTTGAACCATGGACAAATCTAGTGACAGCTCCATGCTTGTTTCACCAAATTACAAAATTTTTGTATAATATTTTTTGTTGATAGAAAGTAGGTTGAAAGGAGTAAAGATCAAATTTTGTGCCTTAGATAAAGAAACCAGTTCACTATCTTTCTACTTGATGTTCAGCGTCTTTACTTTATTATCATCGTGTAAATTATACCATCTAAATGTAACTGTTTATACCTTATGCCCCCTAACTTACGTTACCATCAAATAAAATCTTCAAAGAAACGGATTCGATCTCATCCTCTTCTTCGAATTCCGTTGTCGTTGCAATGGTTTTAGCTTCAGTGTTCGCACTTGTTCATTTGATAAGGTTGAGGTCGGACACCAGAGCTCTTCAAGCGTTGAGACGTTCTATTGACCCCAACATGATTCCACCGTCGTCGTACATCAGTTCGTGGGATTTCTCGGTGGATCACTGTTTCGTTTCCTGAGATGAAGAAAACTTCTATAGCTCTAAGCCATATTTGTTTTGTATGCAAGATTTACACATGATCCATTGAGACAGCAGAAAAAGCAATGTTTTATTTTATTTAAGCATTGCAAAAAAAATAATGAATTTTAAAGCACAATGAGAAGACAACAACATTTTATTAAAATATTAACAATATAATGATGAATGACGGTGAAATATAAAATTATAGATAATATGATTTTTAGTGTTATATTTTCTTACTTATTTGAATTATGTTTTTGTAATATAAATTAATGAGATAAATAATAATGATAAAATATGCATAATTAAGTATAAATATAAAAGATAAATAAATAAATTATTGTATATAGAAGATATAATAAATATTATATATTAGATAACAAAAATAATTTACATCTTTTTATTATTATGAATATCTATGAAGAATTTCCACAATGTAAACATTTAGTTAAATGTTGATGTAAAATTTTAATATATTTTTACATAAATTATGTAAAAATTAATATTAATTAAAATTAAAATAATACATGATATATTTAAATACTCAAGTAATATATTATCAACAAATAGAATTTTTATATAAATAATTTTTATTTAAATATTTAGAATTTCACTTGTTAAAAAACAAATATAAAACAAGGACAATTTGGTAAAATATACATTCCAGTAATCTTTTATTCCTCCAACCAAACACTGTAATCTTACATTCCTGCCAAACCAACCAAACACAGTAATGTAACATTCCCAGTAATCCTATTCCCTGGTAATCTTTTATTCCCACTGGTAATCTTACATTCCGTGAACCAAACACACCCTTAGGGATATTTTTGCTCTAAAATAAAATGTTTGAGGGTCAAAATGCTCATTAAAAAGAATAATGATCAAAATGACCATTTTAATAAACAATGGGGACTAATTTTGACATTATAACATTAGATTACTAATTGGGAATCTTACTTTTTCTTATAATATTCTCATATGTGCATAAATCAACTTACCTCAGTAGTTAAATAAATCGTTGTTGTTTCTAAAGATCACGGGTTCAAGCACCAACAACTGCAAGGGTAATTAATTATTTATTGTTAAATAGTTAAAAATATTTAAAACATATATTACTTTGTAATCAATTTTGTTTAGTATATATATGTGTGTGTGTATCCTTACCTAGGGATGACAAAAAAACCTGAACCTTTCGGGGAAAACCGAAAACTGAATTAAACGAGTCTGGTTCGGAGATGATAAACGGAGATAGGAAAAAACTAAATTTGTTAAACAGGGATGGGTTTGGTAATCTCCGCCCCGATTACCCGATACCTGGCCCGATAAATATTAAAAATAATTATTATATATATATAATATTAATAAATTTAATTTAAATTAAAAATATATATAAAGGAGATTAAGATTTAGGAGAACACATCTTGACCTACTCGTCACTTTCTCTGCGACTGCTCTCAAGTCTTGCTTCGCGGATCTTCACCTTCCTTGCTCTGCTGCTGGTGAAAATTACATGTTTAAATAATCGTTTATGTTAAACGGGGATACCCGTTTCCCCGCGATTTTTTAACCGGAGACAGATACATATTTTTTAAACAGGAACAGGAAAGGGAGACCAATACCCGACTCGAAACCGTCCCGTTGCCATCCTTTCAAATTTGATCACACAAAAGCAGGCCTAAAGAGTGAAGCCCTTGGGTACAATTTTATTAAAGACATTGTGAATTAGAATTTTTTTGTCATTGGACTATTAAATTATCAACGATACGATAATGTAGTCTCTACATTCCTCTCTTTATTGCGGAAAACAAACAAATCAAAAATATGAATTCACTGGTATTTACGGTATCTGTAAAAGATGTCAAACAATAATAGTTTCTGATAACAATTGAAAATAGAAAAACTCTAAATTTAATAAAGAATATGATAAAGAAAAACTCTTTATAATTTAAGGACCAAAATGAGAGAAATCCTAAAATCCAGTAGTTAATGGTGTAGTAATACCATAAAAAGACCTTCCAAAGATTAGCTTAATCGCAATCGACACCAAGATTAGTGGAGAATTCAATTGTGCTATAATTAACATAAAAAGAACCGTTAACCTTAAGCAAAGTTTATTGTTTTGTCTCGGTCATTGGGTGTTGGTGGGATTGACGATAAAGATGAATACATAATTTTATATTTAAGGATGAATTTATAAAATTATAACATATATGATTAATTTATAAAATATTAATGGAACAAAAGTAGCTTTTAATCGAAAATATCAAAAAATTTAAAATTTCAGCATCCGCTCACTCCTTTTTATAATCCGTCTCATATCTTAACAATCTCCAAATGGCTTATCCGCGTTTAAATCTCTGGTTATCACTTTCAGATTAGGGTCATCAATATCTCATTAACTTGGTTCATTCAAACCGTGTTTGAGTGCCCTCATGAACCCTACAAGAACAAGCCCTAGGTTTCTGCAATGTTGTTAGAAGACAAACTCAATTATTAGTGTCGGCAAGAAGAGTGTAGAAAGCTAAAAACGTGGGAAGCAAATTCAAGGCTGAAATCTTATCAAAATTAGAGTAGAACACGGCATGGAAGTATCTAGCAAAATTTAAGTTGGTTTATTACATATATATAAATATGTGTGTTTAGGTCCAAGTGAGTGTGAGTAACGAGAAAAAAATTAGAGAGAATTTAAAAGAAAGTTTAGCAAAGCTTGTAAACTAGCCGAAGCTAGTGTTGTAATATTATAATATTGAGAGTGTCGTTGTAACATATTTTCTTTCGTATCAATAAATAAAAGTTAGAGTTATAAATTACTGAGTGTCCATCTACGCTTCCAACAAGTGGCTTCAGAGCTTAGTTCGAGTTCAACGTGATGGAGAAGATGTCCAACATGATTCAACCACAAATTCCGAGATTGACAAAGACGAATTATGGAAATTGGAGCATTCAAATGAAGGCGTTACTAGGCTCCCAAGAGTGTTGGGATATACTCAATGATTGTTACACCGAGCCTGAAAATGCAGCAATAGAAACAGCCCTGGCCAATGAAGAAAAGAAGGTATTGAAGGAATCTCGGAAAAAAGACAAAAGAGTGTTGTTCTTTATTTTTCAAGGAGTAGACAAATCTACCTTTGAAAAAATTTCTGATGCGAAGACCGCAAAACAAGCGTGGGAGATTTTGCAAAAATCTCTACAAGGTGCCGAAAAAGCAAAAAATGTACGCTTACAAACTCTCCGAGCTGAGTTTGAGATGTTAAAAATGAAAAATACAGAAACCATCGATGATTATATTAGCCATGTGAAAGCGGTCATAAATGAAATGAAAAGAAATGGCGAATCACTCGACGATGTTAGAGTGATGGAAAAAAATTTGCGGTCATTAACAAGAAAATTTGATTACGTGATTGTGGCAATCGAAGAATCAAAAGATTTATCTCAGATATCGATCGATGAGCTTGTGGGTTCACTTCAAGCCCATGAGAAGAAAATAAAACAAAATGAAGATTCAGAAAATTTGGAGCAAGCTCTACAAAGCAAGATGAATGTCAACGAATGAGAAGCTAGCAGCAACTACACACGAGGTTGAGGAAATCGTGGTGGTTATCGTGGAAGATACAGAGGAGGACGATGAACTCGTGGACGTGGTGGTAGATCATATGGCACCGATCAAATGTGTGAAAGCAATCCAACATCAGGTCGTGGACGAGGATTCAGAGGCCGAGATAGGGGCAAATATCAACAAGGAAGTAAATTCCAGGTACAATGTTATAATTGCAATAAGTATGGACATTATAGTTATAATTGTAGATCTGCTCCTAAACAAGAAGAAAGAAATAACGTAGCAGCAGCTCAAGAAGAAAAAATTGAAAAATCTCATGTATTCTTCACTTATAAAGGAAATGAGGAATTCAAGAAAAATATTTGGTATCTTGATAATTGTGCCAGCAACCATATGTGTGTTCAAAGGGAACTGTTTGTGAAATTAGATGAAACAGTTCATGGGCGAGTAATGTTCGGAGATGACTTGCACGCAGAAATAAAAGGAAAATGCGAAGTCATGATTACTCAGAGAAATGGAGAAAAGAAATATATTTCAGATGTTTATTATGTACCTGCTTTGAAAAGCAATATCATCAGTCTTGGTCAACTCCTGGAAAAAGGATACGAAGTACATATGAAGAACCGCTCGCTTGCCATCAAAAATAAAGAAGGAGAATTGATAGCCCAATCTGATATGACTCGAAATCGTCTCTTTACAATTGATATCAAGTCGGGAGAAGTCAAGTGCATGAAGACCGCGATCAAAGATGGTTCATGGCTATGGCATCTAAGATATGGACATCTTGGATTTTATGGTTTGAAGATGTTATAAAAAACAAACATGGTGAAAGGACTACCAGAGATCAACCCTCCAAATCAATTATGTGAGGCTTGCATCAAAGGAAAGCAACATAGACAAAGCTTTGAAGTTGGTAGATCCTGGCGTTCCCGAAGACCGCTGGAGATAGTACACACAGATATAGCAGGTCCTTTTGACATACCATCGCTTGGCGGTAACAGGTACTTCCTAACTTTTATTGATGATTTTAGCAGGAAATGTTGGATTTACATCTTGAAAGAAAAGTCAAAAGCGCTGGAAAAATTGAAAGAATTCAAAGCAATGGCGGAAAAACAAAGCGGTCAATATTTGAAGATACTCAGATCAGATAGAGGAGGTGAATATACATCAAAGTTATTTGAAGAATTTTGCAAAGAGCATGGCATCATCCATCAACTGATAGCCAGATACACGCCACAACAAAATGGAGTTGCAGAAAGAAAGAATCGCAAAATCCTAGACATGGCAAGAAGCATGATAAAATGCAAGCAACTACCGAGAAATTTATGGGCTGAAGCAGTTCGATGTGCAGTTTACCTATTGAACAGATGTCCAACAAAAAGTGTGAAGTATATGACGCCAAACGAAGCATGGAGTGGTCAGAAACCAAGAGTTGGACACCTCAAGATTTTTGGATGCATCGTACATGCCCACGTTCCTGAACAGATCAGAAAGAAGCTTGATGACAGAGGAGAAAAATGTATTTTCATTGGCTATGATGAAAGAAGCAAAACTTACAGATTATATAATCCTCTTACCAAGAAGATAATTATTTCAAGAGATGTCGAGTTCGATGAAGCATACTATTGGAGATGGAGCAAAGAGGAAAAGAAAGTTGAAGGACTATTTTTTAAAGATGACGATCTTATCAATCAAGATGAACAAGCTGATGATCAAGGTCCTCAACAAAATGTACCATCGTCCTCAAGCAGCAACAGCGATGCCAGCAACATAATAGAAGATTCTGAAGCACCTCCCACAGAACTTCGAAGATCCACAAGAGAGAGAAGAATGCCAGAAAGGTACAACGATTATGAACTAAATAATGTTTCACTTTTCTGCTTACTTGTGAACAGTGATCCAATAACATACGAAGAAGCGGTTGAAGATGACAAATGGAGAAATGCAATGGATGAAGAAATTGCTTCAATTGAAAGAAATGATACATGGGAGCTAACAAGACAACCAGAAGGTCATAACCCAATTGGAGTAAAATGGGTTTACAAGACAAAGACCAATAAAGAAGGAAAGGTCGAGAAGCACAAAGCGAGGCTAGTTGTCAAAGGCTATAAAAAAAACAAGGAATAGACTATGATGAAGTATTTGCTCCAGTAGCAAGGATTGAGACCATCAGACTTCTCACAACAGTCGCAGCACAAAAAAGATGGAAAATTTATCAAATGGATGTGAAGTCAGCATTTCTAAATGGCTACCTAAAAGAAGAAGTTTATATTGAGCAACCACCTGGATACATTAAAAATGGACATGAAGACAAAGTTTATCGATTGAAGAAAGCTCTATATAGTCTGAAGCAAGCCCCGAGAGCATGGAACACGAGGATTGATGAATATTTCCAGAGAAACGAGTTCATGGAGAGTCCATACGAGCATGCCTTATACACAAAGAAAAATGAAGAATGTGATATCATGATCGTGTGCTTATATGTGGACGACATGATTTTCACAGGAAATAATCCAGGTATATTCGATGATTTTAAGAAAACTATGACTAAAGAATTTGAAATGACAGATATTGGAGAAATGTCATACTTCCTTGGAGTTGAAGTTAAGCAAATGCAATAAGGAATATTTATATCACAAAAGAAGTATGTAGAAGAAATTTTAAGAAAATTTAGAATGAAAGATTGCAAGTCGGTAGCTACTCCAGCAGAACCAGGAGTCAAATTAAGTGTGAATTCAACAAGAGAATAAGTGAATCCGACGTTGTTTAAAAACATCGTTGTAAGTCTAAGGTATCTGGCTATCACACGACCAGACATAACATACTCTGTGGGATTGGTAAGTAGATTCATGGAGAATCCGAAACAAGATCATTGGATTGCAGTAAAAAGAATCCTCAGGTATGTCAAAGGTACAACAGGTCATGACTTATTCTACACGCATTCAGAAAATTCAAAGCTGGTTGGTTATTCTGATAGTGATTATGGGGGAGACTTAGACGATCGGAAAAGCACAACTGGATATCTATTTCATATCGGCTCTGCAACATTTTCATGGTCATCAAAGAAGCAACAAACGGTAGCTCTTTCAACATGTGAAGCAGAATACATAGTCGCAGCAGCGTGCACTTGCCAAACAATGTGGTTAAAGAATATTTTGAACGAGCTAAATTTGGCACAAGAAGAACCAATTACAATCTATGTCGACAACAAGTCTACAATTTCCCTTGCTAAGAATCCAGTCTCCCATAGCCGAAACAAGCATATTGATACAAATTATCATTTTATACGAGAGCAGGTGAAGAAAAAAAAATGTGGAGCTAATTTACTGCAGAACTGAAGATCAAATAGCATACATTTTCACAAAACCATTGAGAGCAGATATATTCAACCGACTCAAAGAAAAGCTCGGAATGGAAAATCGAGTTTGAGGGGTAGTGTTAGAAGACAAACTCAATTATTAGTGTCGGCAAGAAGAGTGTAGAAAGCTTAAAACGTGTATTACAAAATTTTATCAAAATTAGAGTAGAACACGACATGGAAGTATCTAGCAAAATTTAAGTCGGTTTATTACATATATAAATATGTGTGTTTAGGTCCAAGTGAGTGTGTGAGTAACGAGAAAAAAATTAGAGAGAATTTAAAAGAAAGCTTAGCAAAGCTTGTAAACTAGCCGAAGCTAGTGTTGTAGTATTGTAATATTGACAGTGTCGTTGTAACATATTTTCTTTCGTATCAATAAATAAAAGTTCGAGTTATAAATTACTGAGTGCCCATCTACGCTTCCAACAAATGTTTAGCGCTTAAGGAATCCATTTAATTTCTTCCCCAAAAGGATGATCTTTCACCATAACATTACCAAGTTAGAAAAACTCAACGACTCCTCGTCAATTTCATACACCATCAATGTATTATCGTATCATAAACTTAGATATGAACATAGCTCGAGTGTTGAAAAGAATGACAACCAAGCAAAGCATTTCAATTTTTAAAATGATTAGAATAAAGATAACTCAAAATTCTCGATTTGTCTCCCTATTATTGGCTTAGTTGCTTTTTGATTTATCTGTCATACACTAAAGTTTGCAGCAAATGGCACCAGCTAATACACTTTTGGTACAACGCATGTATATATACATATTTATATATATATAGTTTATGAATTTAATTTTAGGGAAAGTCGACTAACATATGATTAGGTTTAAGTGGTAATTAATATTATAGTTATGATAATGAATCATTTAGAGAAAAGAAATGAAAAGTTGGCATCATTGTCAAATAATGATAATATGAATGAAAGTGAAGCTTAGTTGCTTTTCGGATATTTGCTTAAGATTAAGGTAAGCTTTCCTCTCTTTGCGGTCAATTCCTTCAAGTAATGGACTCTCTCACTTTCTTTAACTAAAATACTAAACCCATTTATATATATATATATTCCTTAACAACCCCAAGTCTTCTGTTATTGTTGCTGCTGCTGCTGCTGCTGCTGGTATCGTTGGGTGCAGTATCAAGTGCCGGAAACATAAACACGTTATCGGGGAAAAAATGGTGTGTCCTGAGGAATCATTCGCGGGGCATGTCGTGTTAGAGCTCACCCGATTGCAGAACCAACTCAAAGGTTGTCTGATGATTTTGTTTCTGAAACTGAACATGTCATGTTACTTGTTACTGACCAATTGTGAATGTTGTTCCAGAAAAGGGAAGGGAGTTAGGTTCTGCACAGGCTGAAATCAAAGCTTTGAGAGCAACTGAAGCATTGAAGGATAAGGCCATACAAGAAGTAGGAGAAATTATATTATGTTGGATTGATGTATTTAATTGATGTTATCATGTTTGATTAATGTAGCTTAATGTGCAGCTCCAGAGTGAAGTTCAAAAGTTGGATGAGAAACATAGGGTCACTGAGAATGTCCTTGAATATAAGGTTAGGTGCCTTTAGTTTTCTTGATAGTGATCTCTGTACTTTTATTAATGTGCAGCTCCAGGGTGTAGTTTTCTTGAATTAATCGTATTCCGACTGTAGAACCTCGAAATCAAGAGGCTGACGAATGAGAAGAAAGATGCATTGGCTGCTCAGTTTGCTGCTGAAGCAACTCTCAGAAGAGTGCATTCAAATCAAAAGGATGATGATGGTGTTTCTATCGAATCCGTCATTGCTCCTCTCGAGGCGGAGATTAAAATGTACAAGAACGAGATCGCGGCACTGCAGGAAGATAAGAGGGCATTAGAACATCTCACTAAGTCGAAAGAGTCCGCCTTGCTCGAAGCAGGGCGGATTTTGAGAAGTGCTTTAGAAAGGGCTTTGATAGTTGAGGAAGTTCAAAATCAGAACTTTGAGTTAAGGAGACAGATTGAGATATGTCAGGTAAGTTAACTGAACGGACCAAGTGAACACCCTTGTAAGGGATTCGAAATCGTTTTAACACATCGAAATTGTATATCTTAATGCAGGAGGAGAACAAGATCCTTGAGAAAACCAATCGCCAGAAGGTGTTAGAGGTCGAAAAGCTAACCCAAACGATTAAGGAACTCGAGGAGGCGATTTTGGCTGGTGGGGTTGCTGCTAATTCTATCCGTGACTATCAGAGACAAATTTCAGAACTTAATGTATGTTCCATGCTTACAAGAACTATCCTAGTTAGTTCTTCATATAGTTATTAACAGCAATGAGTTGATTAATGCAGGAAGAAAAGAGGACACTTGAGAGAGAGCTTGCAAGGGTTAAAGTCTCGGCAAACCGTGTGGCGGCCGTCGTGGCAAACGAGTGGAAGGATGAGAATGACAAAGTAATGCCTGTCAAGCAATGGCTGGAAGATAGGAGGCTGTTGCAGGTAAATTATTTGAAAATAAGTCAATGTTGATAAATTTCCTCGAACGTAACATATTTATTCGATCAACGAATCACAAAATTCGTGTGTTTACAGGCGGAGATGCAGAGATTAAAGGACAAACTAGCAGTGTCGGAGAGAACAGAAAAGGCAGAAGCACAGCTTAAGGAGAAATTCAAGCTAAGGCTCAAGATAATAGAAGATGGCTTAAAACATGTATCAAGTTTGTCACCGAAACCAGCCAAGTCCAGCAATATCTTAGCTCTTTTAACAGGAAGCAGTGGACCAAGGAAGAGGTCTACCTCACAGCCACGGGGTTCCACCATAAGTGGCTCTTCGCATCAGCAGCCGAGTGTAGAAATCGAAACAGCCAATGCCAGAATGAAACAAGGTGGTAGCTTGAAATATAGGGCTGCACCAGAAGAAAATATGGTAAGGAGAAATTTGTGGGCGTCTAGGTGTAAGGTTGCTGATGGTAGTGAAAAGCAAAATGAAGAAATGAAGGTAAACGCGGATGCTAATGTACGGAAAGACAGTGCCGCCGCCGATAGTGGTGCCGAAGATATGGTTTCGGGGTATTTGTACGACAGGCTTCAGAAAGAGGTGATCAATCTAAGGAAGTTTTGTGACGCTAAAGATAGCAGTTTGAACGCTAAAGATGAAGAGATAAAGGTGAAGCACTAGTACTTGTTCCCTTGTTTGTCTGTCTGTATGTATGTATGTATGTATGTATGTATGTATGTATGTATGTATGTATGTATGTATGTATGTATGTATGTATGTATGTATGTATGTATGTATGTATGTATGTATGTATGTATGTATGTATGTATGTATGTATGTATGTATGTATGTATGTATGTATGTATGTATGTATGTATGTATGTATGTATGTATGTATGTATGTATGTATGTATGTATGTATGTATGTATGTATGTATGTATGTATGTATGTATATATGTATGTATGTATGTATGTATGAATTACTGAAAGAGGTAATTCTTTTTACAGATGCTGATGAAGAAGGTCGAAGCATTGTCAAGAGCCATGGAAGTGGAGTCTAAACGAGTGAAGAAAGAAGCACTAATCAAAGAAAAGAAGAATGAATCAGCCAAAATGGAGGATACCAGAAAGATGAGAAACATCAACAACTCTCCTAGAAGGTTGGTTGATATACATTTAGTCGCCAATACTCGATCCAGCTCGTTGGATCATATCATCATGAGATACGATCCAACAGGCTCAATCGAGTTTATGACAAAACTTGTTATTTCTACACTGTTAGTGGATCGTTTGGACTTGAATACGACAATGTTTATTGAGCAGGGTAAGCCAGACATCTTGAAGAGTGGCCATGGATGGTGGAAGTTGAAGAAGAATTGGAATTCATTTGATTCATTGTCCATGTCTTGGTTATGATTGTGAGTGTAAATATTGAATTGAAATGGGTTTTTCTTGCTAATAAAAGCTAGTTAAAGAAAGACAAAGTTGATTGTGGATGATGAGAATGGGTTTGTAATGGTTAAAAGAAGAATCATAGGGTTAAAAGAAGAATCATAGGATGATGATGGTGATTGTTCCTATTGTGTTTTGCTAATGTACTTGAGATTGACATGACACTCCCCTGTTCCCCCCCCCCCCCTTAAATGCAGTTTTTCTATTGCTAGATTGTGATTTAAAAAAAAAATCAGGTGGCAAAAATTTTATTCCGACCTGCCGGATTCGAACCAGCGACCTAAGGATATCAGACAGAAGATTTTCCTACTACAGTCCTCCGCTCTACCAACTGAGCTAAGGTCGGAATTGACCTGGTTATGGAAAATAAATATTTGGAATATACATAATTTGAAAGCAACTTTAAACACAACCTATTCCTTGAAACTGTAATATAAATTAAAGCAAACGTAAATCATAATTTATCACAAAGTAAATAATAAATTTAAGATATAGTGTCAAAATCAGCCCCTCAACGTTTATCAAACTGGTCATTTTAGCCTCTAATTGTAAACGTTAAGATTTGAACTCTTAACAATGTTTAAAAATTTAATATCTTATTCTATTGGACTAACTGGTTATTGATTTTATTTTCTTTTATTTTCATTTGGTGTTTTAATTTAAAAGAAAAAAATGGGGGGGGCGCTTGACTAATGTATATACATTTCTGTACACTATATAATTAATTTAGTTCAATCAACCCAACCAATAAAAGAAAACTTTAAATGCAATGAATGAACCTGGTTTTAATTAATTAGTAATATTATTTAAGGAATTTACTAATTGATTGGTTAATCCAGTAACATGTCAAGTTAGTAGCAACTTGAAGGAATTGGCCACTTTTGGTGGTGGCTGCTGAGCTCTCCACCTACAATGGGAAAGCTTATCATATTCTTCTTTTTCCGTTTCGTTTTAATTAATACAGAGTGCATCTATAAGTTAATTAATTGAAATAAAATGATATCAACATCTTTTTAATTCGATATTATTATAAATTTTCGTAATACTAAACTCGAGTTTTTAACTAACAATACACTAATAAAAAGACGGATACGCCAACTATAATATACTATTTTATTAAGTCTTCTGAGTTTTGGCTATAGGACATTATTTCGTTGAATCCTCCTGTTATTAAAAGTTATAAAATTGTCATTGGATTATAGGGCACTATTAAAAGTTTCAAATGATCACCAGACCAGTCTATCGGCAAGTGTAACATGTGATACGTCGGTCCCAAAATCTGGAGGCCCACACTTTAAAAAAATATCTAGATTTTGCTTCTAAGGGTGTTCGAATGATGATTTTTTTAAATAAAATGTCACAATTATATAATTGTTTTTTGACATTGTCTTTGTTTCATATGTTTGGATTTTGATAAATTTTGATATTTTAGAATTTCGTCTTAAATATGATAAATTTTGATATTTTACAATTTAGTCTTAAATATTTTAGGGACCTCATTGTAAATCTAGCACAGGGCCTCCAAATCTATTGGGACAGGCCTAATGATCACTCAACTATTTATATGTTCCAAACTCGTCCGTTTTCATTAAACTTTGACAGTCGTATGAGTTATACGTTAACATGCTGAGTGTGATATGCTCAAATTATATTTTAATGATGTTTATTGGTATCACCGTTGCTTTCAAGCATTGGCTCGATAGCATTATGTTTCAAACACTGGCACGGTGACATAATGTAAACGAAGAGTTAATCCATAAAATACAACTCAAACAGATCTGAGATTAGATTTTATCATATCTCAATCAATATGTTAACATCAAACTCAGAGGACCACCATTTTTTTTAATAGAAAATGATGAGTCTAAAATATATAAATAGCGGTGACTATTTTATAACTTTTAATATTTAGGGGACTAAACAATGCAACGTCCTATGGTCTTGGGACCATTTATATACTTTACCCTAAAAATAAACCAAAGAAAATGAAAGGAGAAGCTCCATTCAAAAAGCAAATAATCATCTTTATTAAATTAATTATTTTTATACGATTGTTGATAACAAACTTTTTGTAAGCCTGTAATAACCCAGCAATTGTGGGGCACCAACCTTATTAATCCCCCTATATATTGACTATGTGACCACATTAATATTCTAATGAAATGTACGTCGTGCAACGTTATTATGAATGATGTAACATGGTCCATGAAATTGACTATACGCTCGGTACCATGTGCGGCGTTTACGCTTTACATGATTGAGCAACCATTTGGGTTATCGTCGCTAAAGCATTCACCTTGCCGCTTGCTGTAACAGTAGCTATACCCGTCGCCGCCCCAGCTATCGTAAACCGGTCTACCGTAAGTCTCGTAACATGGCGGTGGAGGTGCTCCACCGTAATAATAGCAAGGTCCCCCAGGAATTCCATGATAGCATTGCGTGCAACAGCATCCGATGGTCGGATATGCCATTGGCGGCTGAGGACAAGGTTCGGGTTGCTTCGGTGGTGCTGGCGCTGGAGGTAGAGCCAGTGGTTCTTTCGGTTTTTCAGGTTCTTTAGGTTTTCAGATTCCTTCGGTGGCAAAATTAGCCCAATAAGGTATATAGATTTTTTATTTAGCCTGTTAGGGTAAATAAAAATTTATTTTGTGATCTATGGTATTTTTTATAGTGACATAGAACTCGTCAGGTCGAGATGATGAGTTTCAATGAAAAATATATTTTTTATTCTAACTTTTTACTTCGATGTGATAGATTTTAATAAAAAATTATATTTTATTGGAACTCGTCACCACGGCGTGACGAGTTCGAATAATTTTTTTTATTGGAACTCGTCACCTCGACGTGATGAGTTTCAATAACACTATAGAAAATATCGTATATCCCAAAATATAAATCGAGATGCCCTAATGGGCTAAATAAAAACACTTTATCCTTATTGGGCCAAAAAAGCCTCCTTCGACTTTTAGGGAGCTTTGGGCTTTTCGGGTACTTTGGGCTTTTCGGGTGCTTTCGGCTTCTCGGGTTCCTTTAGCTATTCAGATTCTTTGGGTTTTCGAGCTCTTTAGGCTTTTCGGGGACTTCGGGTTTTTCAGGGGCTTTGGGCTTTTCGAGTGTCGGTGGTTTGATCTCAATGCTCTTGATGGATCCGCTGCCCTTGCAGCATAACTTGTCCCGAAGCCTCTCAGGATCGCAGCATACCACCTTAATCGCCACCGTGTCTGCCTTGTTGTCGTAAATTTGGTCTAGTATTTCTCTTGTTAGCAAAACACGTCATAAAAAACATCAAGTTAAAACATTTCTCGCTCAATCATCATACAACTTTTGCAATTACCAAAAAAAATAAACACGAAAATCAAACAAGAGAAACTCACGAGGGAATTTGCAGAGCACTTTCTTCGCATTCTTGTAGCATTTGCAGCACTGAAGGTCCACCTTAAGCACCATTATAGTCACCTACATCCATACACACGAAAGGCGGGCAGATTAAACAAAATGTATTACAATTTACACATAAATTACAAAGAGATGAGATTAAAGGAACCTTCTTGGCCATAGCTTATGATCTGAACTGAGCTCTGAATTGTAGAAATGATTTTGAAAAGGAAATAAGAGCAGAGATGGAGGATTCAACAGACAGCCTTATGATTTAGGCACGCAGCGTAGGACCTAAAGGGCTAAGGGGTAACAACACAATTGATTGGTGACACGTGGAATTTGTGTGGAATTTTATATGATGGATTGCTTTTCGCAGCAGGTACTCAACCATTCTTTCCTTTCCATTTCAATGTGCATGCGATGGCTGGCGGCTGGCCTTAATATGGGATATAAATGATGATTACAATGAATAAAGTTGTATTTGTCTTCATAAAAAATATTAAAAAAAAAAGAGAAAAAATGGAGAACCGAATAAACAAGTTTATAAACGAGTTTGTTCGTGAACATAAACGAACATAACACATCATTTGTGTAGCGTGAACCATCTGCCAGAAGTCTTGGATCCCTCTGTGTTCAATGGGGATTGTTTGGGTTATTCAGTATAATATCATAATGGAAGTGCGAGATTGATTCTCAGTTATCTCCGCTCATCAATCATAGATAACTCTGAGTACGTGTGTGAAGATCAAACATTATTTTCGATACGTCCACATAAATCTCTCAGACGCATCCAACTTACTTTAGTTGTACCCTTTCAACACGGAACATTCTTGACACATACTCAAATTGTACCCGACCTGTACCCGTCCCAAAATCGTATTGGGTACTTAAAACGGCATTGGATTGCCGTGCCCGTGCTTCACAGATTACAATCGAGTCTAATGCTTCAAGTGATTTTTCAATGGACCAGACCGAGTTGCTACAACATTTCTATACAAAATTCTGGGTACTTTCTAATAATGGTCTTTTTCCAGTTTGTAAAACGGAAAGCCGGAAACAATAACATTTTCCACAAATGACAAAATTCAAAAGACAAGTCAACACAATCCATTTCAAACATCACAACTCACTGCAAACCCAAACTTTTGGTAACGCTTGCATCGACACATCCTATTTGGTCCGAACCTTAGTGCTAAAATTTTGAGCCCAAAAGAGTTACAGGAACTTATTGAGAAGATCAAGTTCGGTTTTAGAACAGGTCCCAAGGTGATGTTCGCCTTTAACATTTGTTTACCGAATCATCGAACAGGCAATAGGGCATGCTTTTCGATCTGGTCAGCAGTGGACGTTACATGATTGAGCAACCTTGTGGATTTTCGTCGCAATAACAGTACGAGTTATACCCGCCGCTGGTCCAATTGTCGTAAACTGGCCTACCGTAAGTCACATAACATGGGCGTGGGAGTGGAGGAGGTGGTCCACCATAATAGCAAGGCCCCCCACCTCTGCCATGGTAACATTCCGTGCAACAACATCCCATGGGCGGATATGCTGGCGCCGGTGTCGGTATCGGTGTTGGCGCCGGTGTTGGTGTAGGTTTCGGTGTCGGTATTGGTGCTGGTGCCGGTGTTGGTTTTGGTATCGGTGCTGGAGGAGCTGGTGTTGGAGTTGGTGCCGGTGTTGGTTTTGGTGTCGGTTCTGGCTTTGGTTTTGGTGTGGGTGCAGGTGCTGGTGTAGGTGTAGGTGGTTTCGGAGGTGGCTTGATCTCAATGCTCTTGATGGATCCGCCACCTTTGCAGCATAGCTTGTCTCTAAGCTTCTCAGGATTGCAACATACCACTTTAATCGTCACTGTTTTGGCCTTCTCGTCGTAAATCTGATCTCGTATCTCTTCCCATAATCAAATTTAACTTGAATCATAAAAGAACATAAAAATATCTTACAAAAACACAAGAATTCAAGAACAGAAACTCACGAGGGAATTTAGAGAGTATTTTCTTAACCTTCTTGTAGCAGCGGCAGCACTGAAGGTCCACCTTCAGCACCATTATTGTCACCTATATCCGTACACATATATATATATATATATATATATATATATATATATTAGACTATTAGATTAGTGGATTTGCGTAGAAAAAACAAATAATTCCAATATCATCATTAGCAGATAAATGGAAAGAACAACTACAAGATTCAGGTTCTGACATGTAAGAAAGAAAGAGGAATCTGGGATTTTCGTGACAATTTACAAATTACAAAGAAAGAAAGGGATAAGATTGAAGAAACCTTGTCCGCCATAGCTTGGAACTGAGAAATCTGGGATTTCAATTGAAGAGATACAAGGAGGAATTAAATGGTGATATAATTTGAAAGTGAAACAACACCAAATGGAAAGAGAGATCCCTGACTCCACATAACCATATAATTTAATATTTTTAATTACTTGTCCTTGGTAGGGTCCAACCTACATACAATTTCTTTTTATCATGTGTTAGTCATTTAATATTAGATCATTTAGCTGATTAAAGATAATATTATTTTTTTATTAAAGAAATTGTATGTTATGTTTTCGATTGTATGTTATCGATGACTAAAAAAGTTTTTGAACAGATAATCAGATATTACCTTATAATCATTCTAAACTATTTAAAAATAATAATAATTGATTTTATTTTTTAAAGTTATTTTTAAAAAATAATTTATTATTTAATAATTTAGAATTTTTTTTAAAATTTTAAAATATTTATTTCAGATGTTATGTTACAAAATTTAAAATGTAATAATTTAAATTGATTAATATGGTTTTTATATGTATATTGTGATATTATATATTTATATGTGATCTTTTTGTTTATAAATTTAAATTGTATATAAATATTTTAAATATTGTAGAAAAGATTTATTAGATTGATTGACAAAGTTAATGTTTGATGTTAGGTATAACTATGGTCGATGGATTCCCACGAAACCTTAGTCGTGGTAAAATATTGGAAAATGAGTGAATATGACGTTTACATGGTCCCCATCCATTGGAAATGAGACATCAAAATTCAAAATCCAGGGAGAAAGGAATGGGTAGACAGAATTTTTTATATGTAATTTCTACTGATAACATATTTTTATCTCTTCTAAAATTTTATAAATTTTATTTTTTAATATTTTATAAATTCATTCCTCTAATATAAAATCCTAGACAATTTTTTTTATAAAATTAATCCCTTAATATGAAATCCTACTACCGTCGATAGGTAATTATCTTACTCTCAAAAAATACGTATAATAGAGAGTCCTGGTTAATAAATTTTAATCTTTTTTTATGTAGGATTTATATTTCTCACTTCTCCGATATGCAGTAACCGATTCACAACTTCTTATATATGCCCTCAAGTCTAAAATTTTATTCGATTAATTTCTTATATTACTGATAATGTTTATCTGAAATTTTATATATCCATCTCATTCAAAACTTTTATGTGTTCAACTCATTTAAAAATTTTATGTTTTTAACGTCCATGTATCCGCCCACAAAGATATTTATGGATATGTTGGATTTGCCCCTACCAATACGTGACACTGTGCAAGATGGCGAGGACCAGTTTTCTCCGCTGCATCTTCCACAAGAAGAGCTGACAGAACCATTACACGAAGCCACGACAGTAGAAGCAGTACAATACCAGCAGATCCACCCATGACCGGAGCAGCCTTTTGCACCATCCTCTGCCTTCACACCAATTGCAACACATTTTCTTCCCAGAGTGCATGTCATCAGTGGGAACGAAATGCTTTTGTCTGGATACATGGACCTTCGGGATGCCACTTGCGGCATTCCTTACAAAGTATCCAAACTATGCCAAGTACATGGATGTTTGACGAATTATCGTCCAGGAACTTTCCAAAATTAACGCATGCTTGGATTTCCACATATGGTGCATATACTCTCAGTCTGCATGCATGAGCCACTCATCTTAATTAGACCCCCTTGTTGCTACCTCTATCACTAGTAATTGATTTCTCCAAGAATATACACATGTTCGGTTAGATTATGGATTAATCAGAGCCTTTAAAAGGCAGGCTCACCTGTTGGTGTTTGGAGTTCAGAGCAGAAGATATTGTGCATGTTGCATGTACTAAAGACTGATAATATAGTGACTCTGAAAAGCTCTGAGAACAAAACAGCACGCTAGTTGGGCTGTCATCAACTTGTAAGAAACAAGTACCAAAATGGGGTATCAGACTGGACCACGGATCCATTAAGTGAGCACTTGCTTTATGCTCTCATACAAGGCTCGAACCTGAACTGAGTCTATCACACGAACACGATAGGTAAAGCAGCGCGGTTAGGTGGTCATATAGTCGATCATAAGAATGATAGAGGGAGCCGTTTAAAGATTCTAAATTAACAGCCCTAGTAATCCATTGGCCTTGATTTGTATAGGCATTAAAGTGTTGGGTACAGAACAACTGTTATGAATAATTACACTTCAACATAAAGTGTGTTTGGCGCATCGATCCGAGGAGTAACTGGTAAGATGTCTTACTTTAATGGATCACTTTGGATGACCAAACTGATCATGGTGCTGCTCAGCCATCACTATTGATGGAGAGATCGAAGATTGTCCCACTTTCTATGGACTTAGTGTGGTGACAGGTGAGTTTGTCGAGGCCCTTCACTCTTTTGCACTAAGATGCCTTAACTAGTGTTCGAGGGGGGTACTAGCTTTTGCACGTACGTACGTTAATGTATCGTAAAAGATAAGATTAAACAATGTACATAAGTTTATCTATTGCGAGTCATGTGATGCCACACACTTGTAGTTAGTTTGATTGGTCGAAGTTGGGAGTGGCGTTAGGCATAAGATAGAAAGCTCCGTTGGAGGTCAACTCGAATGGAGGACTCGGCAACATAAAAAAGGGGAGGGGGTGAAGGGTCCCTCCACAACGGAAAACGATCGGCGATTGGTGTGCAGTCCTCCGTCCGGTGCTTCGTGGATTCACCTCCACCCTACCCTAGGTCTTCTCTCTCTACCCTACCACCAATTGCACTGTACAACAACTACTAGAAGCAGAAACTATTGTATAGTTAATAGCACCACCGCATTATATTATAACACAATCCTTACATAACAATTATATATATATACACACACGAATGACATGATAGACTTACTCTGAGTCAGATTATTTTTTAAAAATAAAAAATTCATCAATTTTTTTTAAAAAAATCATAGATAATTATTAGATTAAAAAAAGTATGTCTAGACAAAAGAAGTCGGACTTGAAGTCAGAGTCATTTAAATTATGAATGAAACTCAAGTTCAATACAAAGCTTATACTTGATTCGACTTGTTTTCAGATTTATAATTATCAAATTTCTTTTCTTTTCTATGTTATGTAATTTATATCATAAGAAAAGTTAAATATTATACAATATAAGAGTATGTAAGTGTTAAAATATTATGTTAAGAGTTTACATTTAGGAATTTAGTAAAGAAATATTAAATAATAGAGCTGGAAGATTTTCAACTCTTTCAGAAGAAGTTTGTGAAGTATCATTTGACATAAAGATCTTCGCTTAAAATTTATGGTTTAATGATACTTTGTATTCTTATCAATTTAAATTTAATTCAAATTAAGCATTTTCTTATACAATATTTTAGGGTGAAAGTGTGCCTATCATGATCTAAAGGTGAATTTCACACTGTACATAACTGTACATATAATGAGGTGAATATATACAAGATCATGATTCTCAAGCAAAGAATGGATGAATGGATGGAGGAGGTTTAAGCAAATCTCTTTCAACACTTCGAATTTGGGTCGTTGGAGTTGGAGTGCCAATCATATTACGAGTGCCAAGTGTATTCATCTTTTCACGGCGTTTTTGTTAACGCCAAGTGGTTTTCCTTCCTTTTTCTTACAGGACATGAGCAGGCCGCCTGCCTGTTGTCCTACGTGGCCATAGCCTGTTGGGAAGATAACGGCGCCAAACTGACATCAGTGACGGCGCTATCCGTCACGTCAGCACCATGTCAATGCAGCACCCGACGTGGAGCGTAGAGTGTGGGTCCCGGACATGTAAACCACATGTAAAGACAACTTGGGTTTAGGGCAGAAGGTGAAGAAAGTGTGTCAGACGCCAAAAGGAACGTGACACTCACACGCCAAAAGAAACCCTCTTCCACTAGTCCCAAATTCCATTAATTTCACTTTTTAATTGATTATTGGATAAATCACATTAAGTGCTGCAAAAATATATTTACCAATTAATCCTCCAATTCCTATTTTAAGTTGAAAACAGAAGAATCTTATTGGTATTCCTCCTATTATGATTTGATTCCTAGTTGTTTTAGTTAGTTAATTACTAGTTGTAATGCGAAGCATGTATTAATATGTCTAATCTTATACATCTGGGTAAATGTACATTTTGGTACCCCAAACTTTAAATATACATATATTTCGAAATCATTCAGTGATTTCAATAATAAAAAAAGAGTATTATTCTTCCTAGTGAGTTCAATAATAAAAATGTAAATATTCTCCATACCAGAAAAAGGGTGAAATCTTCGCAAAGGAAAGCTAAGTCAATTATAAAATTACACAAGCAAATAATTGGATAAGCATAAAAAGCTATCGAAGGTCAAATTCTAGTTTCGGTCCTTCTACAATGTTTGAATCTAAATTGAATCCTTTTATCTCAATTTGGGATAATTCAATCATTCTATTTTGTAATATTATTAGTATTTGAAATGATTATTAACATTATAAAAATAAAAGATCAAATTAATATACATCTGTTATAGTTTTTGACCTTAGACGTCCCAAAGAAAACATAAAGGGACATAGATCATCATTTCACCCTCAAAAGTTTCATAAACTTTTTATCAATAATTAAAATTTTAAAATTGCCCTCTAAAGAAGATAATCCAAATTTAAGTAATGGAATTATGAAGGTATCTTTCCAAAGAAATCGCTTTGCTGAGTAGTGAAAGGTTGTTAATTTAAACTCATTAATGGAATAGTACATGGATGGAATAGGAATAAAGCTCTTTCTTTACGGAATTAATAACATTTATGGAATAGAAGACATGGAAATGGAATAATAGATATATATAAATAAAGAAGTAGAATATTATATATATATATATATAATGTAAATTTTTTTTAGTTTTATATATATATATGATCATTGGATGAGTGAAAATAAATGACTGAAATTAATTTTTTATCTTTTTTGTCTTGTTAATATATTCTTATTTTCTACTGTTAATTTTAACTATTCATTTTCACTCATCAAACGGTTTTACATTTGTGTATCCTATCATATACATATATATATTAGTCTGAGGTGATTACATATCTTGCAGACTTAGTTGCTCGAACTCAATGTCTCAAGAAGAACAACAATTTCTTTTACTATTTGAGGTGAATCAACGATTTCGTTTTGATATATTTTAAAATACCATATCTTAATTTTATATAAGAAAAACTATAACATAAATCTTTATAAATATTACCGTTGTAGAGTTAAAATATATTTTTAAATAATACTTACTATTTACTAAACAAAAATAATCAAACATAATGTATTTCTCAATTAATTGAAGGTTAAATTATAAATCCATCTATTTTTACGATTTTGTTTTGTCATTTAATTAACTCTTTTAAAATTATATATAATATTAAGTTTTAATTCCGTTATGATCAATAACTGTTAAAAAATAAATAAAATTACTGACATAATAATTTTTATGTTTTTTTCCGATGCCGACATAATATTGCCTCATGTATCACTTTAGCATTATCGTTAATTTTTTAATGACGAACGGCGAAAATAAAATTAAAATATAATATTAAATATAAATTTTAAAAAATAATAATTAAATATCAAAACAGGATCGCGAAAATAAATGGGTGAATAAAATGAGAAGAAGGGACAATTTTGTCATAATATGTATGTCTTCCACTCTCTTTCTTAGGTTCCCGTGCCCCCACAGGCACATCTTCCTGCCTATTATTAAGCATGCATTTATCGTCACTTTTTTCCAACATGAAAACCAAACCTTAGAGTTGAGAGTTGAGACTTTCTTGTCTTTCTTACCTACTTACGCCACTGAATCTCTCACTCTCTCTTTGAAGTTTCATTCTTTCCCCAGCTTCAATGGCGACAAAGACCCATACGGATCCCGAGAAACCAAATGGGGAAGAAACCACCGAGAACGAAGAAAGGAGTCCGGTGGAGGAGGTGGCGCTGGTGGTGCCCGAAACCGACGACCCTTCCCTCCCCGTCATGACTTTCCGTGCCTGGTTCCTCGGTTTGACATCATGCATCCTCCTAATCTTCCTTAACACTTTCTTCACCTACCGTACGCAGCCACTCACCATCTCCGCAATCCTTATGCAAATCTCCGCCTTGCCCATTGGCAAGTTCATGGCCAGGACTCTTCCGATCACCGAGTATAGCCTCCTCGGGTGGCGATTCAGCTTGAACCCCGGGCCGTTCAACATCAAGGAGCATGTTATCATCACCATCTTCGCCAATTGTGGGGTGTCTTTTGGTGGAGGCGATGCTTATTCCATTGGTGCCATAACTGTCATGAAAGCTTATTATAAACAGAGCTTGAATTTCCTCTGTGGAGTCCTTATTGTCTTGACTACTCAGGTATTTTGCACAACACTTGTTTTTGCTACTACTTTTATTATTTTATTTATGTTGAGAACTTGGGTCTTCTCACTTTCTTTTGAAGTTGATTTAAAATTGATTTTTTTTATTGAATCTTTGAGACTTTGACTGTTGATTATATGCAGATTTTGGGATATGGATGGGCTGGTATGCTTAGGAGGTACCTGGTTGATCCTGCAGAAATGTGGTGGCCATCAAACTTGGCTCAGGTTTCTCTGTTTAGGTCAGTGTTTTCACACCATTGCCCTTCCTTTTTCACCCTTCATTATCATCATTTTGTGAATTGGTCCATAGGAATTTTCTTGGAAAGGACAAAGAAAAAAGTTGGAATTTTTAGAATCCTGAAGACTTTTTGGTCCAAAGGGTCCCGTGAGAACAAAAACCTCTCATTTGTTCTCACAGTAGCAAAAAGCTTAATCATTTCAATTGCTTGTGTTTGATGCTTGGAAGATTTAACTTCATATGTGTGGATATATAATTGCACAATGATGAGACATATAATACCAAGAACAGTACAAGTATATATTGACATGTTTTGATTATATTCTGAAGCTGATGGATGCTTCATGCCTTACAGTAGTTTTACATTTTTTTTATGTTTTATTCTCAGAGCACTCCATGAGAGGGACGAGAAAAAGAAGGGATTGACTCGGATGCAATTCTTTCTAGCTGTAATGTTGGCAAGCTTTGCCTATTATGCTTTGCCAGGCTATTTATTCCCGATATTGACATTCTTCTCGTGGGTGTGTTGGGCATGGCCACATAGTATCACTGCTCAGCAAATAGGGTCCGGATACCATGGACTCGGTGTTGGTGCATTCACCCTTGACTGGGCCGGGATATCGGCTTACCATGGCAGTCCACTGGTTGCTCCTTGGTCGTCGATTGTCAATGTTGGGATAGGCTTTATCATGTTCATCTACATCATTGTTCCTGTTTGTTATTGGAAGTATAACACCTTCGATGCTCAGAAATTCCCTATATTCTCTAACCAGTTGTTTACTTCCAGTGGGCATAAATATGATACAACTAAGATCTTGACACCGCAGTATCAGCTAAATATCCCTGCATATAACAGTTATGGCAAACTCTACCTTAGCCCTCTTTTTGCCTTATCGATTGGGTCGGGGTTTGCTCGGTTCACTGCAACCCTCACTCATGTGGCATTGTTTAATGGCAGGTACAGTTTTACTGGTTTAAGACTTTTTTGATTGTGATCACGTCGAAAGACGAAGTTAACTCTCGGTTTTGTTTTGCGTAGGGATATTCTGAGGCAGAGCAGATCGGCAATGAAGAATGTGAAGTTGGACATCCATGCAAAGTTGATGAAGAAGTACAAACAAGTTCCTGAATGGTGGTTTTACATTTTATTAATCGGAAGTATTGCTCTGTCGCTTTTGATGTCCTTTGTATATAAGAAAGAGGTACAGCTGCCATGGTGGGGTATGCTGTTTGCCTTTGGTTTGGCCTGGATTGTCACCCTTCCGATCGGAGTCATTCAGGCAACTACGAACCAGGTAAAGTATGCTATGCTGTCTGTTGTAGTTACTTACTTGCATGCAATGGTGACTTCATTAACTAGTTTCTAACAACATTTCTACTTGCAGCAACCTGGCTATGACATTATAGCACAGTTCATGATTGGTTATGTCTTGCCCGGAAAGCCCATCGCAAACCTGCTCTTCAAGATTTATGGGCGGATCAGCACGGTTCATGCTCTTTCTTTCTTGTCTGATCTCAAACTTGGGCACTACATGAAAATCCCACCGCGCTGCATGTACACGGCTCAGGTACACTTTCTGCCATTGAGCTTTTAGTTATCTTAGAAAACTATTGAAACTTTAATAAAGAATAGTTGTTTTTATGTTTTCCCAGCTTGTGGGAACTGTAGTAGCAGGTGTTGTCAACCTTGGAGTTGCTTGGTGGATGTTAGATGGCATTCAAGACATCTGCGATATTGAAGGGACGCATCCTGATAGCCCATGGACTTGTCCTAAATACCGTGTCACGTTCGACGCCTCTGTTATATGGGGCTTAATTGGACCGAAGAGGCTTTTCGGACCAGGAGGGATGTACCGTAACTTAGTTTGGTTGTTCCTTATTGGAGCGGTGTTGCCGGTTCCTGTTTGGGTTTTGAGCAAGATTTACCCTGAAAAGAAATGGATCCCCTTGATTAACATCCCGGTTATATCTTATGGTTTTGCCGGAATGCCACCTGCAACTCCCACCAACATTGCGAGTTGGCTTGTCACCGGAACCATCTTCAACTACTTTGTGTTCAAGTACCACAAGCGGTGGTGGCAGAAATATAACTATGTTCTATCTGCAGCATTAGATGCCGGAACAGCTTTCATGGGCGTTTTACTGTTCTTCGCTTTACAAAACGAGGGTCATGACTTGAAATGGTGGGGAACTAAGGTTGATCATTGTCCTCTTGCAAGCTGTCCGACAGCCCCAGGTATCTCGGTTGAAGGATGTCCGGTTTTTAAATAGACCAAATCGACCACATGCACAGCAACAAGAAACAGGACAACGATGAATGAAGATCCGGAATGCAAAGCAGAAATGGTTTAGTTTTGTAACATGTTATATTACAGACTTACGTACGTCGCAGAGTTTTACTATATATAATCTAAGCTGTAAAGTAACGCTTACGCTTTGTTCCGATGATCCGATCATCATTTGAAGAGGAGGTAATTAATGTTTTTCTTTGTCTGTTTGCCTGATATATAGCAGAAATTTGCTTTTTATTTACGATTCTGATATGGTTGTTGCTAGCTAGCTTGATGAATGAAGAATAATATGAAGCTATTAATTCCTGCTATCTCCCTGTCTTGGTCCCGGTCCCGGTCCCGGTTCCAATATATATATATATATATGTATCACAGATACATAATTTATTACAACTAATGAATCTTTATTGAATGATGGCTGTGACATGATCTGAACCAAAGAATTTTGTTTTATGAATGATGGCCATTGAGGTCATGAGTATTGAAGTACATGTAGTTCATTTCGTCGGAGAATGCGGTTGAGGTTGGCACTGGAGAGAAGCCAGAATAGTTCCCATCTTTCTTTGCTAAGCATATGTCGACGCTGCATTTAAAGAGCTCGTGTTTCTGGACGAACGGCTGCGCTGCATATTCTTCAAATGGCATCCACTGCATAAAGTAGTGGAGATGAACAAGACACCCTTAAAAGAAAAAGAAAACTTGATTCATTGTTATCACTTGGACTGGGAGTTACCTTAGCTGCCTCTATCTCAGATTCCTGCTTCTGGATTTCGGAAGAAAGTGGTTCCAACAGACAAAGGAAGAATATATCCGACTTTTCGAAGAATACCTTGTGGCTTTGTCTGTAAACGACATGAAACACGAATATATATATATATATATGTATATAAAATGCATCCTGCTCCTAGTGTTTCTTTGAGGTGCAGAAAGTGAATGATGTTGTTCTTAGACACATGCTTGTGTTTCGGTTATGACTTACGATTAGTGATGATTACACAGATTTCATACCTGAATGCTAGTACTTCAATGAATCTTGTGTCGATCTGAATTGGAAAAACAACGAATATATTAATTGAAAACCATCTGTAAGCGTCTCAGATTGACAAGGTTCAATAGTTTGTGTATATGAACTGAATATTTTCTACTTATTAGCACTTACAGCTGTCTCTTCTTTGACTTCTCTAACTGCAGCTGCACAGAGATCTTCACCCTGGAGACGAAATTGAAATATATTGCTCAACAACGAGTATATACATCCACCACGGTATTATATCTACGGCGATGGTGATAAGAGTACCTCGTTCACTACTCCCGTAGGGAACTTCCACACTCCGGTCCCTCGAAACCGTCCAATATTCTCTTGAACCACTAGAACCTAAGAACAACAGTGCAGGGAGAATTGCAGGCTGGTTCGAGCATATGTATCATATAAACCATCTTCAAGGTGCATGGAAATGGGAACGTACCTCTCTGTTTTCGTTCATTACAAAAGCGCCAATGCCGATTCGATGCGAGGCGTTTGCCGGAAGAGTGTGTGGCCCTTGAGGAATCCAACAAACAAGCATCAAATAATTTGGCTCAGCATGGTGATACCAACATCCTTCCTGGAGCAGCAAATACAGTATTAAACATAAAATGCGGTTCAGTTATACATACGGAATTCAATAATTAGGCTCCAAATGACAATAATATCACCTTGACAGCAGCTTCAACAAGATTAACGTGCTGAATAGGCAACTTGATCCACACACCTCTTTTACCCTGGTGCTGCCACCGCGCGATCAAAGCTCTTAGAAGAGAAGCAAAGAGGGCAGAGTCCATAGCTAGAGTCACTTCAACGACGACTCCTCCGTACCTATCGTTCACCGCATTCAGTAGTTTAAAATCTAGAGTCCCTTCTTCATTTTCATATGTAGGAGTCGAATTCAGTGATGCAGACATGGCTGTTTCTGAATCTTGTTGCCTGAAAAAAAGATCAAACATGTTTGAGATTAAGTCAAACTCGTATAATCATGAATGATGTCGATGCCAAACATTCGTCCGGTCTAGTCCGACTTATGAACACCTCTACCTTATGTTCGGATCGATCGGAGAGAATGCAGGAGGCCAAGGTAATGAATGCAGGGCCAGGAGTTAAGATCAGGATCATTACTTATAGTGGTAGCAACCGTATTAATTTAGTATCATAAGTTCATAACAATATAATGTGAACGAATACGATAATGGTTATGTTGGTTAAGTTTGGACCGACGTGTTTTAACGTTGATAACAATTAGAATCTTTCTTTTTTTTAAAAAAAAAATTGGCGTTGACTTTGAAATTTAAATGTGAAATGGGCATGATGCCATTGCACATAGTGATGCATCGAGATAAGGGCGTGATTATGAAAATTTCAAATTATCGTATAGTTTATATTTTTTCTTGATACTTTTTATTAATAATATGTTTTTATTCCTTAAAATTTTTATAAGTTTATCATTGACATAAAATCTTACGTCCATTCTTGATTGCAGGTTTAAAATAACATATAGCCATATAGGTCCAAACATTGATTAGGTCAGTCGACAATGGAAGATAAACAATGACCAAGGGCGATGCATGCAAAATTTCCCATGGAACATGCATTTTACTTTTAACCAAACCTAGAAAGAAAATAATTCAGGGTTGATCCGTTCCTACTCCAACTAAACCCTCACTCCACGTACACGTTGCACTCTTTCACTTTTCTTTTTTGGGTTTATTATATAAAATGATACTTAGCTTGATATTTTTATCTCAAATTGGTTCGTCAACTTAATTCTGTATCAAATTGGTAAATAGTCTTAAAAAATATTTTCGAATTACTATATGTTTTGACTTGCCATGTAAAAGGGTCCAACGCTTAGCCGTTAAGCCTAGGAATGCACCTAACGGGTTCTAACCTGACCCTATAGGGTCAATTTTTTTTGTCATAACAAATGTTGTTGATGAAACATGCCACTATCTAATTGAAGGATTAATTTTTTTGAATTAAATTAAAATTAGGACCAAATTGATAGAATGTGTAAGCAGTGAAGACTAAATGTATAATTATACTAATTTATTAATTATCATGTCAATCCTCCATCAAATGTTAATGACTGGTGACTTGATTGACATCATTCAAATAATTAAATAATTTAATTGACCAAATTAAAAGATCGGTGATCAAATTAAAATCCCTCATAATTAAGTGGTTATGAGTGTAGTTTACTCTAAATTAAAATAAGTGGACTAAATTCATAATTTATGAATAATTCAAGTAGCACTAGAGTAGTCTTGAGAAAATGTAGTCTCATGTGCGAATTGATCTCCAAACTTATCCAGAATATATACATTTACCTGAAGATCTTTTCCGTAATTCCATTGGACTTTGAAAAGAAATTATGCTTTGAATCATTCATAGCCTATTCTAAAAGCGTAAAATTATAAAACTTCAAAAATACGAAATTAAATTATTAATGGAAAATAAAAAAATACATAAATTATTAATGGAAAAACACACACCGCATGAATATGCAAGGATTGAATCTGACGAGTTTATTTATGCACGTGGATGGAAATTATCCCTTTTTCTTCTGTTCAAGTAATATTATTATTACGTAAAAAATCGTTAAACTCAATATTAATACAATGCTATTCCTACTTCAACTCAGTTGAGGATGAACTTCAATCACCATACACACACACATACGTGCACTGTCTTACTAAAACTAACCTAAAAGATGATGTGAGCCAGGTGTATTACTCTTTCCTTTATATCCTACTATAACGGGAACGGTCCAAGTTGAACCGCAGTCATCTTCTAACGAGGCTGACACATACGTGTGCTTGATGCCGGTTCTGATTACGAATCACTAGTCGAGTTGTACAATGCTTGTAGAGGCACTACGGGATCAGTCATCGTCTATTTTGATGCCACTGACGGATTTTGACAGCTCGTTTCCCTTGTCGATCTTTTGCAACTCTGATTCCAGAGTTTTAGCAATCTCTGTTCCTTCAGCAGCCGGCTCGGGTAGATCCACGTGAAAAGATCCCTGTTTGATTGGTCGAGAGGGTTCGGTGAGCAAAGATTGCTGCTTTATGTAGTTGTAGAGCTGTTGGTGAAAAGGATGATCCAGCGAATAGCAGTTTTCGTTTTCAGAATGGCGTGATGACCCGGACCCTTCTTTTCTACAGAAATGTGGCAGCGACTCGAGATCCATTATCTATAAAAATAAAATATTCCACCAACAAAATCAGTATTCTTGAAGCAGTAAAGTGGCAGTGAAATGGTGTTTTAACCTCATGATTCAATCTTACCTTCAATAGTTCATCTCGACCGCAACCTGGCAAAACTTGAATTTTTTTCCTTGTTCTCTCTTGCAAGAGGGGCTTGACGACCTGCTAAGAATTCAACAGTTGAATCAATCGATGCCAAAACCATTTATTGGGTAATGGAATACATATTCAAAGGCTTACCTTCCAACAAGCAGAGAAAACATATGGCACGTTAACAACGTAGTATGTATTTGTCTTCTCTGGGTAATTCAAGTCATCAATTGTGGAGATGATTGTCATCAACTGTTTTAAAATAATGAATTTAATCGTCATACTGATCCATGAGGTTAAAATGCAATACATCGGATTATCAGTTTTAGAGATTCAAAATAAGGAAATTGCATATAGCATATCGGTTGCAAATCCTACCATCCAAGTCCAATATAACAAATACAGAAAATAAAAACTCAAGACGATACCTTTATTTGGCTCAGTGCTGAAAGCTTCAAACCAGTCATATCCAACACTTTTATACAGGTGGTTATAGGTCGCCCGTGCTTCTTAGATGCAGAAGGCTAAAGCAACGCATAAAAGTCAAACAAATAGTGCATAAAAGTCAAACAAATAACCAGGAAATGCTGGAAACATCAAGCTTCCAACTCTTATCACTCACCAGAATTATGCGATCCCGATATTCGTTGATTTGAATATGTGACTGCACATAGTAGTGAACCTATAATAGCAATCGAAGAAGCAATAAATACCAAAGATTAGTTTCTTATGCTCAAAAATGAAATACTTATTGCACATTACCCTAAAACTTACAGATGCTTTGTCAAGTGTGCTAAGTCCTACGCCAATAGCAAAGACAGGAAGCCCCTGGAAATGGAAAATTTTAAATTTAAATAACATATGTGAAAGAAAATGCTATTTCTATTACAAATTCATTATAATCAAGTGTGCTTGTGTCCCACATGGTGCACAACTTAGTATGACTGAAAATGTAAGCACCATAAACTAGATAAGATTTGAAATGTATGAGCATACGTCTCTCGAGTAGCCAGACATTCCAATAAGCTGTGAATCACGCACTGCTCTGTAAAGTTCCGTAGGAACAATGGGTTTCTGTTGAACAAGTTTACATCCAATAAAAACAAAATTACATAGTGACAACCATTTACTCCAATCTTATACATTAGAATGAATCACCAAACAACTCAATATAAGACTGAAGCATGCAATAGCAGAAAGAAAAGAAGATAGGTATAATATTTTCAAGTCTGAGAGAGAGAGATTAGGAATGTGGCCAGGATTGTTTCTTACGGGGCGAAAATAAAGTTATTATTTAGCAAAATGTAATAATGTCATAAGTGTAGTAGTCAATGACGTTAACTTATAGAATCAATTTTATCGTAAATGTTACATAACCCATGTAGACAAAATGATGATCATTAAAAAACTGCAATCACCAATAAAAGAACCGTCGGAATCTTCCAATTTAGTTTGCTTGTTTGAAAAATAAAATGCCGAGACAGTCGTCAATAAAACAATCTACCTAGAAAAGCAATCAGTTACAACCAGGCTGCAACACCTGAGAATACAGAAACTTACTGCTAATATCTCATCAATGTTATTCTGCACCCTCCAATGCAAGCACTCCACCAACTGAAACAAGATACGATTAATCAATTTGGTAATACAAAAAGGGGCATTTATGATCAATATACTGCCACAACAAAAATGGCAGTTATCTGTTTCCCGCTTTTCAAACTGAAAAATGAACCTAGGGTAGATGTCTTTTGGGTTTAACACCAGTTAACTAACCATTTTATGGGCTTTGGCAACATTCCATTCTCTTGCTTTTAGAAAGCGCGCCAATGTTTCAGGTCTAAAGCCTTGATGGACATTCTGCATGTTGGGAAACAATTACTAGAAAAGAATTGAAAAACCGGTGCAGAATCATCATCCCGTGAAGTTGAAAATAAACATATTGAAACGTAAAACATCCAGTCAGCAGTTATCAGACAGCAGACAAGGAAGAATCAACAATGCATCAAAACAAAAAATACTTTAGTTATGTTTAAACTTATAAAGCATATCAACAAAGTTACATAAACTGAACCAGTAAAGAGCTTCATGGACAGATCATCAATACCTTTTTAAGGCAAACAAAAACAAAGGGCATATTATTGTGCAAGTACATTCATATTCCTATTTGCCCGCCTTCCTAGTTTAGAGGGAAAAAACTGATAGGATACTTGATTCAGTTCCATTTGGTGGGAAGTAAGTATTGCTACTAGAAATCACTATCTTCCCAGGAATTTTTCAAATTGATTCACACAATCCCAGTTTACATTTAATATGTAGTTTATTATAAATTTATTGAGTAAATAAATAATTAACAAACTTCGAATTTTATTTATTTATTCGAAATCACTTATTTGTGTAAAATTATATACCTAAGTTCCAAAAGAATGTTTCAATTTCTTTCATACTAAATCGCGTTCCATACAAGTAGCGATTTGAGTTTTAATATTCTTGTTCCTAGTACCGGATCCATTGTAAAATCGTTGTAGAATGGGCAACTAAGTTCACATTTGAAGTAGTAGCAATAAATCAATTTGAATGTAAGAGCAGATCAAGCAGAATTTGAAATTTTTTTCTTTTCACCAGGAAAAGAAACACATTTGACTGGCGCTGACTATAACAAGAAAGAAAAAGAAAAGGGTGAAATGGGTGTACCTGAAGCGTTCTGTTGAGGGGTTCTTCGACTGCCGTGATTAAGAAAGATCAGAAAATTTTCTGGGATCGACTGAGCCTACCAATTTCAAAGAAAAAGAGAAGAGAGAGAGAGAGAGAGAGAGAGAGAAAGAGAGAGGAGACACCTGGATCCATCAATGCCTGTAACTCGATGATGGCTTCCTGACAACCGATTCCCATTCCAGAACACGACGATTGTTGATGGTGGGGGATCGTAGTGTTTTTGAGTCTTTGTATACTAAATTCTCGGCTCTTGTTTTTCTTTTCCTTTTCCACTGAGTATGAATTGGACAGTTTTGTTTCGGAAAAACACAAAGCAAATTAGAAAAAGGAAAGGAACCCAAAACGGAAACGGAAAAGGAAAGAACTTTGCAACTAGAAAATCAAATTTGAAAAGTATAATGACTCCCCAACAATCTAATATTATTAAAGATTTACGATTATTACACTGTTTTGGTTTTTCATAAACTGAATCCAATATTAAAATATAGGGTAAACTACACACTTAGTACATAAACTGTCGCTTTTGTTATGTTTTGATCATTCAACTATTTTTTATTTCAAAATCATATTTAATATTATGTTTTAATTTTATTTTGATCACTTAACGTTAAACAATTAACAGTGATGTTGATGTTCATCATAAGGTAATACTACGTTATCATTGATTTTTTTTAAAAATATTACATCAACAATTCTATTAAATTTTAACAGTGAGTGACCAAAATGAAACTAAATCTTAACATAAGATATAATCTTGAAAAAAAACTAATAATTTGATGACCAAAATGAAACAAAAATGACAGTTAAGATATTAAATGTGTAGTTTACCCTAAAAGTTAATCAAATGAATTTGGATTTTACTTGTACGAATCGGTTTGATTAATCGTTTTTAAATTTTTTAAAAAGAAATTTCTTTTTATTGTTTTTTCTAATTTATTTAATTAAATATAAATAAGATATTATAAATATTTAAATATTATTATTTTATACATTAATGATAATAAAATCATTTTATAAACTGAATTTTAATGTTATTATATTATTTATATATATAGTACGAATCAAATTATTTCATTGGTTAAGAGATTTATTGTTATTCCTTGAAGTTTTGTATTCGAACATCGCGTATATTAAACTTTAAGCATTCATTCTCAAATAGTTGAAAGTATTTAAACATATACTACATTGTCACTGTAAATTTTTACAAAAATTATTACTGTAAATTTTAAAAAAATTATTAAATACCTTATTTAGGGTCTTATATTTAAAATTTTAATATATTAACTCTTAATTTTTTTAGTAACTTCTAAATCTTAAATAAAATATATGACAATATTTAAATTTAATAAAAAAAATTCATTATCAAATCATAAAATAATAATTTATAATTATTAACTTTCTCTCTCAACCCCACCTCTGTTTCCCACTCCACCACCACTAATTATCCTCTCCAGCTCCCCTTTCACCTCCTCCATTGTCATCTTTGATCTTCGAAACTCATACATCAATATCTCACCACCTTTCCCCTTCATCTCGTTTATCTCCTCTGCCATCCTCTGCTGCAACCTCGCCGTCGATATCATCAAACTTGATCTGAAAAACAAACGCCCTTCGCTCCCTCCTCTTAAAAAACTCGACTCTTGCCAACAATGGACCACCCCGTAGAGCAGCAACATCAGAAGCAATAAGCTCACATTCCTCATTGCTTATAGAACTCCTCTGAAACCATTGAACCCATTCAGCTTCGATTCCATCAAAACTTTCTTCTCCAACTTCAACGAGAGTTGTTGGATTCTCGTTTCCATGAACGCCCTGTTTTCTTCCTTCAGTCCCGTAGCTTCTCTCCTGCACCTCGAAATCGCCATGATCACCTGTTTCCAGACCATGAACTTCAGTGAAATTATAAACAAAAAGGGGAATAAGCTTTAAGAATTTCAACTAATACCTGTATGGACAGCCGGGGATTAAGATGTTTATGATCGAGAGACGAAATTATGTTGAAACCAGAAGAGTTTGGAACTTTCATCCATGAATTCATCAAGACACTTATCACCGATAGGGAGATGAAGTTTTTCAACAAGTATAAGGAAAAAGGACCTTTTGAAGGAATTGGATTAACTATAAGTTATTAGGATTCCTTGTAAATTTTCAAATTACTAGGGTTCTTTGCAAATTTTCAAATTATTAGGAGTTTGGAACTTTCATGATTCATCCATGAATTCATCAAACCACTTATAAGGGAAATGACTTTTTTGAACGAAATAAACGTCAGACATTAAACTGAAAAAAAAACGGATATAGATTGAACATTTTTTATATAAACAAAATTAAATAAATTCAAACCGAAATCCAACTAAATAATTTGATGAAGTTTTTTTTAATCAGTTTCTTCTTAGTCCCACTTAATAACTGTGTCCCTTCGTTAATTACAGAAAGGGTAAAATGTCTCTATCACTTGTAACGAATAATTTTAAATTAAAATATAATAAAACAAGAATGGTAGCTAACGGTATTCATTATAACATAAACAAAAATAACGATTGAAGAAGGAAGATATAGAGTTAGCAATAAAAGAAGAAGAAGATATTATAATTTTTTTATAATTATTTTATGAATTGATTCATTCTTTTAATTTAATTTTAGTTTTTTAGTAAATATGAAGCTTAAATATATAAAGATGTTTCTAATTTAGTATCTAACGTTTATTTCATTTCAATTTGATGCTAACATTTCATTCAATTATTCAAAATACGTCAATCCATAACATACAGTTAAATTTGACAGTTAATTCATTAAAAATGTAATCTGATATATTTTTTTAATATTAAAAAATAATTTTTAAAAATAAAAAATTAATCAAAAATGTCAAGTCCCCCTGTTTTCCACATCCACCGCAACACATTCAACAGGAAAAATGATTGTTTCCCACCTCCACCGTGGCTACTAGGGTTTATGGGAGGCCTGAATTGAACAATTCTCTTGGCGATTGGAGGATTGGGTGGCTGTGAGGGGTTTGGGATTTGGGTTGGGGGAGATGAGAGAAAAGCTTGAATGGGTTCGAGTTTGGGGATACTAGCAGTTATTTTACCGCCGTCGCCGACGTCTTGGTCATTTAAGGCGGATTTGAGGGGTTGTTTAGCTTGGTTTTGACCGTCGCCTTTTTAGCATTTTAGCTTCATCTCCACCAGCATAGCCCTTCAAGAGAACCAATTTTTAGCTCCATTGAAAGTGACAGCAACTGAGAAACATAATTCAGCTCTATTCTTTGCCACTAAACATTGAAATTCGAAAAAACAAAACAATTACAATCCACTCAAACTTACTTAAATCCAATGGTCAATCTTCCAAATCAACACACCACTATAAAAATTTACAGTTACCAAATGAAAAATCAAATGCAATAATTAAAGTAGTACCAGTACCGATAAGAAGGAATACCCTTGTCAAAATAAGAGATGAAATTCCATAATCAGCTAAGCGCTTCGCTAAGAACTCAACCATTGGAGTCTTTCCATTTCCTCCCCACGTCAAATTTCCAACACTGATTACCGGCACCGGCAAGCGAATGAGAGGAGAAGCCAGAACGGTAAAGCGAATGACGAATATAGAGAACGGCGCCGTAGAGAGACGAAGCAAAGCAAGGGAAAGGAATAAGAGAGCGATGAAGATTGGAGAACTTAGCTTGGTTTTGACCGTCGCCGTCGTCTTGGTCATTTAGGGTGGATTTGAAGGGTTGTTTAGGCTGCGGAAGAGAAGAGAAAAGGGAAGAAGATTTGGGTGGAGGGAGAGAGGGGTTCTTTATCGTCGGCGGGTGTGTGATTTGTTGGGGTTCATCTTCGTCGGAAGAAGCGTAATTGGCTAGCAAAGAGTCCATCGCTGCCGTGCCGGAGAGAAACAATATCAAGAGAATAATATCGCTAAAAGTGGTTAAAACCTAAATAAGGTTTAATTTTTCATTTTAATTAATTTTTTAATATTAAAAAATATGTCAGGTGATATTTTTAATGGATTAATGATTAAATTTAACAATCCGTCATGGTTTAACCCATTTTAACGGGAATGAAATATTAGACACTAAATTAAAATAAAATGAACGTTAGACGCTAATTTAAAAAAAGGGCCTAGATTAGACACATTGTTATACTTAAGCCTAAATATGGAAGTAATATCAAATTTTAATCATATTAAAATTTGAAAGTAATATTAAATTCTAATCCTTTTGGTAAAAAAAAGGGCTAATAACGTTGAAATTGTAAGGGATATAAGATTATTTGGGCCTTGGAAAATTGAGAATGACATTTCACTACTCTACTAGAGCAGACTATTAAGCCAGTTGATCCAAAGGATATCGGTTTGAACAAAGAACAGCTTTCGGGATCATTGCAGGCAGAACCCCAGTCAGATTGGAAGTTGGCAGTCCAGTACTTTGCTAATTTTAACATGGCTTCCACAGTTTTGATGAGCTTATATGTAATAGTCCTTATCTACATAGCAGGACCTAGGTCAATTCAAGGACTAGAGTTCATTGGCCTTGACTTGCCTGATTCAATTGGTGAATTGATTGTGTGTGCTGTTTTGGTTCTTCAAGGCAAAAGGGTGCGGCAGTTAATCTCACGCTTCATGCATGCCAGAGCGCAGAAATGTAATATTTTCATTTAATCACTACTCTGCTCGGCTTGTGAGAAGAGTTGCAGTGTCTTGTTTCTTGTGTCTTGTCATTTGATTTCCTTTTTCTTGACTCTAACAATAGGGGATGGATGATTACTAACAGTTGCATTGATTGAAGGAAGTAGTTTAGCTGCTGTAGATCCAAGAGGGTTCTGCGATCCATACGTGGTGTTCACTTTCAATGGGAAAACTAGAAGCAGCTCAATCAAGTACCAGAAATCTTCCCCCCATTGGAATGGTGAATTCAACATTGTTCTGTCTATGTTCGGGTTCAGCGTACGCGTTTGCAGTCGCACTAGCATAGTCTTGAATAATGAGTCACTTTAATCAATTCTTCAGTATTGCTTTTTGTAAGATCTAATATGTCTGATCTAGCTGATGTGTGGGTTCCTCTGCAAGGCAAGTTGGCTCAGGCATCAATGGGCAGTCCAGACATTGTTGCGACTCTCCGTCCAGGAAGAGGATCGGATGCGACATGGTGCAAAGACTCAAGATGAGGAAGGCCGGCTGAAATTCCATTATCAATCTTTTGTATCTTTCAATGTAGCTCATCGGTGAACGATCAATCCATCTTCTGTGACATTGTGTTTATGATTTTCTCTGTCTTTTGATATGTTTGTTAATTTTCAATTTTTTATCGACTAGAACAATCATGGCTCTATGGGAGGCCAGAGCCTCGAGCCTGGTGCCCCGAGCAGAAAGTGCAAATAGTTGAAGTCTTGAAGACGAGTCCGAGTCAAAAGGCCTCGAATCTGGAGAGTGGATCTTTCTTAGTCCTTGAGGATGTCAGTATGTCCGAGGTTCATTCATGTTCTCTTCCTGTTCTCGTTTGTCTTCGATCTCTCTCACTCCCTGAACCTATGGAACTAGTCATGTATCCTATTGTGAACATTTTCACCTCATTTTTGTTAAAGCTTATTAATGGAGTCCTAGCATGTAAATGTAGCATTTTGACTATTTGAATGCATGTGTTTTAGATATATGTTCTCTGCATCAGATGGAGGTAATTGTTTTATCGCTGATTCAGATCGGTTTCGTCATGGAGTTATTCAGTGGCGGCCAAATGGAATACAAAGCTATGAAGAGAGCTGGCGGTCTTAACTATTCTTGCACTCCATGGGAGTCAGAAAAGGCTGATGTGTATGAGAGGCAATGTATGAATGCCACGAAGAACTTCTTACCTATTTATCTTCAAGTATGATGCTTCCTCATTGCTGACCACTTTAAACTTTCCATATTTTGCAGCTTCACCTTGGATACCAAATCGAGGACTTGCACTCGGGAGCAAAGGGATGTTAGGTGGGAGTATTGCTGATACATATACTCGATTGGCAGATCAGCATCATATTCAGAAAGTTGGTGCATTCTTTGGTTGGTTTCCTGTATTGTGCCTTGTAGAATCGAGATCTATCCAGATTTGCAGTATTTCCGTGATCTGCACGAGTATCTCACTCGAAGTCGAACCGAAACTTTTGCTCGAAGGCGAATGTCAAAATTGCTGGCTGCCAAAGATAACAGTCTTCGGAAAATATAGGCGTGTTATGGCTGCTTTAACCCGGTTCTGGCCGAAGATACAACATTGGTAAGTAAAAGAAAAAGAAAATTGGTGTTAAGATGTACTATTGGTATACTGATCCATATAGCAGTTGTTAAAATTAAAACACAAATTATATATGTTAATATTTGAATTACCTTATTGATCATCAAATTATTAACATTTTCTATTTTGATCATCACTTTTTTTTATAAGATCATCACTAATAGTATTTTTTTTTATATATATTTTGATTAATTGTTTAACTGTCCATGATCAAATTAGAAAAAAACATAACCATAGTATACAAGAGAAAAACAGTTTTATGATCAAAGTAAAAAGTTGGTAATAGTTTGACGACCAATAATTAATTTACCCTAAATAAAATTGGTTTAACTCTCAGAAATTAGGAAACAAAAGAAAGAAAACACGGGGAATAAATAGCCGTGGTGGATGGGATCCCTTTTCCCTTCCCCGGCATAGCGCGCTGAAAGCAACAAAGAAAGCTTCTTCTTGTTGCTTGTTGATTTGTCCTTTAGAAAAAAGGAATTGGGTTTTGGTTGAAGATGATGATACGTACAGAGTGAGAGTGTTGAATTTGTATATCAAATGTGGTCGATTTGTTTGCTCTTCTCTCCGTCATCGCTCTCTGCGAAAAGGTTAGTCTCTTCGTCTCTCTCTCTCGCTCTGCTATTACTCAACTTCATCGCTCTTTGAGTATTTCTTTGTAGAAGATTGGATCATTTGTGTTCGAAGCAGACTTTTAGACCATAATTTGTCTGTATCATTGGTTGGAGAAATATGGGTTTTCGAATTCCTATCCATTTTCTGCAAAATTTGAACTAAACCCATCTCTATTTGATTCTTTTAGTTTTGTGTAGCTTAAAATTTTGATGTGTTCGTCGGGGTTTTGATACTAGGTTGCAGTTCTGTGAATGATTTGAGTCCAGGTTGCTGCTAACTTGATGTCTGGAATTATGCTGCTGCTGATGCTTCTGAGTAGTGACAGAAGAATATTAGTAATTAACAATTGAATACACTGGAATTATTTGTTTCCTTCTGAGTAATATCATTGATAGAAGAGGGTCAAACATGTATGGGAGAGGTGGTCTTGAGAAATTCAGGAAAGCTCAATCTTTGGAACCCTTCTCGGTCTCGATAAATTCTTCCCCGAAAACTACTCCTGTTCAAGTTCAACAACATTCTCATTCTCAAAATGCGGCTGCTCAGCCTCAGCGGGAGGACCAAACTCAGGTTCAGCCTGCCACTCAGCTTGGTGGGGGTCAATCCACTTGGCAGCCTCCTGATTGGGCTATTGAGCCTCGTCCTGGTGTCTATCATCTCGAAGTTCTTAAGGAAGGACAGGTGCTTGATCGCATTAAACTTGATAGACGCAGGCACATCTTTGGAAGGCAACATCATGCTTGTGATTTCGTGCTTGATCATCAGTCTGTTTCACGCCAGCATGCTGCTGTCGTTCCTCACAAGAATGGCAGGTCACTTCCTTTTCTATTTCTTTCTATTTTCCACTTGGCTGAGTTTACTGGTCAGCAATTCAAATTGAAGTTGATGCTCTTCTAGTTATTGCCTTGTATTTGTAGTCATCGGTAGACAACATAAGTCTAATTCTATTTATATGAAATCAAATCCTCGTCTTCATTCTTGGATGTAGTGTTGATTTAGAAAGTTCTCAAGTTACTTTTAAAACCACAAGTAAAGTTTTAAACACCAGCTGTTACAATCTTAACAGCATTTATGTAATCGATTTGGGGTCAGCACATGGAACATTTGTTGCAAATGAGCGTTTGACAAAAGATACGCCTGTTGAGCTTGAAGCAGGGCAATCTTTGCGCTTTGCTGCATCAACAAGAATTTACATCTTACGGAAGAATAATGCTGCTCTATTTCCTCATCCCCCACCTCCCACCGAGATAAATCTACCCCCAAAGCCTGATCCTTCTGATGAAGAAGCTGTTGTTGCATATAATACACTTATAAATCGTTACGGTCTGAGCAAACCTGAACTGCTGCCAAAGTCCCGTGCATCTTCCATCTCATTAGCTGGAACTGAAGGCAACACAGAGTCAGAGAGACGCGCTAAGAGAATGAGGAAACTAAAAGTGACCTTCAAGGATCACGCTGGGGGGGAACTGGTTGAAGTTGTTGGAATTTCAGATGGTGCAGACGTAGAAACGGCACCTGGGCCTCTAGGTGTTAAAGAAGGAAGTCTTGTTGGCAAATATGAATCTCTAGTACAGACAACCGTAATTCCTAAAGGTAAGGATCAATCATCCGTAAAGGAAGAAAGTGTTATTCAGAAAGGTGTGACCGATAAATTGCAAGAAGTCTTGAATAAGGTAAAAAATGCTCCTAAAGGTGGGATCTACGATGATCTTTATGGAGAATCTTTATCCGACAAAGTGGGTTCTTCCTGGGCGTACGGTTCCAATAGTTCGACCGGCAGGCAAGGTTCATCTTCTCCTACAAAGGATGCTATTACTGGAAAGGGTACTGATGTTTCAAGTGGAAAACCTGGAAGTAGAACTGCCTTTAAAGATTATGATAGTGAAGATGATCTATTCGGTGACTAGTCATTGAATGAAGCTGAAATGCTCATGCAACTTGCATCATTCACACTTTGGTTTGACAGAATGACTGAAAATATGTGTGAGGTAGCAAGCTATTATTTTCACCTGAAGTTGGAGAAATTTTTGTTGTAGTTTACTGGCAAAATTTTCTTTGTACAATGGAATGTTAAACCTGACTGAGATTTGAAGATTTTTAAGGATCATGATTTTGTTCTCTTGTGTTTGTTTTGTTGTTTTAGGTTTCTACAGATGTTTTACTTGCAGGGTGGGTTATGCAGTTGTTGGCTGCAAATCATTATCATCATCTTCTTCTTCTTCTTCATGATGAAGCGGATCAATTAGGATTGGGAATTTAACTAATTATGTTCAACCAATAGTAAATTCATATATCAGTTGAATGTTTAAGGTTATTAATACATTTACCATCACTTTAATGACAACAACAATAGTGTTATTAAAGTATAATGATAAATTTAGCTCTTAACATCATATCGTTTGTTAATCTAGCTATTGTTCTTTATTTTAAGTTAAATTTAACACTCGATTTTCTTCTTTCTAATTAAATTGGTGCGATTTTAATGAAAACGATGATTAGACTATTCAACATCCATGAGCTGACATGGTAGGTCGTAATTCAGGGTGGTAGGTAGTAATTCCGGAAGGAGGTGAGATTTTGTGTTTGGTGTGAACTTTTAAAATTTTAGTAAATGACGAACTTATAGAATTTCAGGGGTTAAAAAAAATTCAATAGAAAATATAAAGAAAAAAATCTAAAATATATAATAATTTTAAATTTTCAGAAGAATGACTTCTCTCACTCATCCCCTTCGATCCATCCCTGAGTTGTATGTTAGTTTATACACATCTTATTGTTAATGTAACACTATTTCATTAGTGTATACAGGGATGATAATCGGTCAAGTTGTTAGTTAACCTGATTGGAATTGAGTAATATATCTCTTTATATGAATTTGATCTGATCAGAGTTTAGAGATATCTTATTTGAGTCGAAACTTGATTCAAATGTTAAGATAAATACTCACATCCGACCTGACTCGACATAAATATAAAAAGATTTTTTTATAAGTAGATTAAGAATATAATTAAAAATAAATATATAGGGATGGTATTATAACAATTATCCTTAGATATAAAAAAGTTTCGAGTCCCCTAACCTGACACAATTTTATGAAATTCAACCGACCGATATAAACTCAAAATTTTCTAATGAACAAAATTAATCGGATTAGATCAGAATCCGATTTTAATCTAATCGTCTTCCCTAAAGTCTAAACGGTACCAACTTGAGTCACTTGATATAGGGATGATCCCAAATCGCAGCATAGTTTTTTGTTTTTGAGCCCCCAAAAGACATAAAAGTAGCCCACGCAACACATCAGTAGCATAAATTATTCATGACCCGCCAGCCAAAAGTTTCCAGGTTTTGAAGAAGGAACGCAGACAGTGAGTCTACAACAGATTCTTTTCCCGTCTCGTGTATATCTCTCCAGCTTCACTCAGTCTGCTCCGTTGGGTAATTTCTTTTCAACATCTTTTCACTGGGTTTGCGATTACATTTATTATTTTATTTTTATTGCATGATTTTCGCTTCACTTTGTTGGGGGAGAAAAAAAAGGCTTAAAAACGGTGTGGGTTTTGAATAATCAATCCATAGATTCTACAGGTTAGTGGTGAAAATGTCGGACAAGGGAGGCAGAATGTTTACGTTGCCCACCAAAGCAACACCCAAATCTTCTCTCAAATCATCTTCTGGTTTGACTTTCTTCTCTCTTCTTCTTCCTTTGATTCATGATGCCTTATTTTGATCCCTCTACTGTTTTTTCTTCTGAAATCTTTTATTTAGATGTTAATTGCTCTCTCATGGTGCAAAACCCCCCTATTTTTTTTACTACTTAATTATTATCCATAGTCGTACAATTCATCAAACATTTCCTAAGCTGCCTGGTACCACATGCTCCCTCTTTGTTGTTTACTGTTATCAATCAATTTGGGTGCTTTTTTTTATCGTTTCTTATTTGCATTTCTCTGTAACTTTTTCCATGGCATCATACATTAGAACAAATTTTGATATCATGCATGCACTCTTTTGGATGTAAATACTTTGTTACCATTTAACACCCTTCTTCCGTGGCTTCATTAATATTGGAAGGAAAAGATGATGGTTCAGCAAAATCAAAGAAGGGAAGGAAAGTTCAGTTCGGAACTGAAGGTCGATTTTTTTTCCCTCTTCCTCTGTGAGCATGACTCTTTTACGTTTATTCTCCTTACAAGGCCCGCTTTGTCTATATTTTTCTCTCTTTTTAGGTTCACCTGATGTTCAGTTTAATTTCTCATCGGGAAAATCTGATGGCAAGTTCGCAACCCCTTTTGGTAAAGGTACTTTTCCGTCCTCGGTTCTTGGGGTTTTTTCCAGAAAAGGAATTATCTTTACTGTTGTTTTTTATGGTATTGCCTGTTTTTATTGATACTGCATAAAATGTAATGTACAAGGTGGAAAAGGAGACAAAGTCAGCAATGGTGGGAAGACTCATGTGGCCAAAGAATCACAGACATTGGAGCTCAGAGTTGAACAGGGTTTTTACTTGCCTTAACTACCATTCATGTTTCTTTCAATGATTTGTTACTCTTTGTTTCACCAAGTTATTTCTTTGTCTAGTCTACATTTAGGTCGTATTTATACTTTTTTCTTTATTTAAATGATTAACAGTACTTCAAGTTGTAGGACGGGAAAACAATAAAACAATGGCATCTTTGCTAAGAATTTCAATTAGCTTGTTTATTGAAATGAGTGTGCACATCCTGTTGTCAATGTATAAATAGTAATAATTTTCATTTAAAGAGGAAAAATACATTTGTTTTCAAGGAAGTAAATCTTTTTTCTTTACTTTTATTCCAAGTTTTTGTGCTGTTAAATTGCCAAAGGATCATATTTTCTTTCTCTGTATCTAGCTGTGCACTTCCTTTTCCTAATTTGTATTTCTTGTTAGATCAATTTCCAAGCCAGTTCTTTTCTTGATCTAATATGTTGTAACTATGTGTTGCATATTGGTTTTTATTTTTTTTCCCGGATTGTACATATTATTTATTTTCTGATTGATTGCTAAACTTTGTTGTAGTTCCTCTTCTGTTGGCCACGTTATTTCTTTTATTTTCATTACTCTTGGTTTTTAAGATTCATTTCGCCCTTTCTTTTCTGAAATTAGTATTGGTTTTAAGATCTGCATCTTAAACTTTTCCCTTAAGCTGTAAATGTCCTTGCCATTATTTGCAGAACTTCCAGAAAATGTTAAATGCATTATGGATTGTGAGGCTGCCAGTATCTTAGAAGGCATTCAAGACCAAATGGTTGTACTCTCTGGCGATCCAACTGTTAAGCTCCCTGAGTAAGAACTTGCTTTGAGCCTTTGGTCTTGTGTGGAAGGGTTCATCAATTTGCTCTAACTCGTCATCCTTTTTAGATCATTTCATTCGGGACTGCAGTATTCCAAGGGTGGTAGCTGTTATACTAATCCGCAGTATGTTAGAAAAGTTCTTCAGTATCCTTGGTTTTCTGTTTCCAATGGAACTCATATTTTGATACATTTTTTTCCTTTGGTTGCTTAGATGACATTAATCTTTTTTGCTTCGTCTCCTGTTGAACCATTAACTCAAATCTCAGATCTCTTTCAAAACATGGTGTCTCTAACAGTGAGGTATAGTGTCTTAACCTAAGTGGTTACTTTGACACAATCATGCTACCATCTAAGTTCCAACTTCTTGTTGCAGATTTGTATGATTGCAAATACTTGTCCAGAAACCGTTGAGGAAGTTTTTGCTCTCGTCCGATCCTTGCAGGTATGACCAATACGAATTTTTTCCTTAAATCAGAAAATGATGGTTTTTTTTTTTCTTCTTTTGGTGTAAAAGAAACAAAGATGCTAGTTTGAAATTTTTATTGGTGTGATCTATAGGCTAAGAAAAGCAGGCTCAGCGAACCACTTAAAGCTGCATTGGACGAGCTAGCTAAACTTAAAACATCAACCTAATTGCATGTGTGGATGCTCTGGTGAGGTGGTTTTTACTAGGATGTTACTGCTTTAAGTTGTAGCCTTCTAGGCTGTGATTATTGTTTGGATCCGATAAACCAAATGCATGCAGGTTACTCGACTGTTAGGAGCATGAGACAGGCTTATTTTTGCGGGGGGAAGCCTTATCGGAATTGGTTTGATAGAACTATCCTCGTGTCGTAATCGATGGTTTTACCCTCTCCATTTCAATGACCGGAGATTAATTAGACCAAGTGTGCAGGGTTTATTTCACTGTTGGAATATTATCAACTTGTGACATGAATTCGTAGTCAAAATAGAGATATTGTTTAATGGTGTGACTGCTGGATTCTATAACTGTTGGAATATTATTATCTTATGATGTGAATATTTTTGTCGAATATCGATATCGTATTTGTAGCAGTACAGTCCAAATAGAGTTTGTTGTGTTGCAGCGCAGCATGGATAATAATGTTTATGGTGTGTATACCAGACTATTTGTCATGTGTGATAGAGTTGTTTTTAGATATAAAATTTAGGGTAAACTACACTGGTATTTCATATTTTTTAGTATGCTTGTATTTGAGTCACCAAACTTGTAAAATTTGCATTACAGTCACTGAATTTTTTTATTTACTTTCATTATGGTGATTATTGTCAATTATCGTTCAATAATCATTGTTTTTTTTTTAAATTCTCAAACTATGATTTCATCCTATTCACGAACACTTCCATCATAATATCAAATTTGGACGAAGACTTTTGCCGACACTCTTTTTCTTTATGGTTTTCACTTTAAATGTATCTAAATCTTACTATACAAAACAGTATGGGATGTTTCTCTCTGCTTTGTGCTGCTGGTTAACTGATTATTTCTTTCTTTAACTTTAGGGTAAATTATCTCAAATATTAATGAAATTTAGGGTTTTTATTAATTTTATCATTAAATTTTAACATTAAACTTTAATTTTAAGTTCAAGTAAAGCATGGGACATTAAACGATCGACCATAGCAAATGATATAATCTTTTTAGTGTTGACGTTGAAGTTAAAAACTTAAAATATTTTTTTAATTAAAAATCAGGTTTTTTAAATCTATTTTTAGTCATTACTAAAAACGATCATTTTTTGATATTTTTTTATGATCACTTATATATTTATGAACTCGTCTTATTGTCCTCTATCATTTTTCACTTTATGAATTAGATTTTCTCAAAACTTCTTTAAAACTCATAAAATTAAACACAAAAAAGTCCATTATTTCTTAGTTTGAAGGTTTTCTCAAATTTGAGGGATTTTTATGCTTATTCGAAAATTCGAACAATGATAAACAATATTTTTCAAAAACATGAACATTTATTGAAACTACTCTTACCATATAGTCGGAGGAGGAGATTATAATATTAGAATGTTGAACATTTGGTAAATTTTCATCAATTTAGGTTGAATTTCGTAGAAAGCAAATCCAAATAGAAGAAAGAGGAATGAAATTTGAACGTTTTGATCTAATTTTACCACGAGTGACGACTGGTGATAAACGACGATTGCCTGGCAACAATGATCAAGGGAGTTAATAATTTTTTGTAAGAATCAAATTGATAAGTAAACTAAAGTTTAATGCTTAAACTTGAAACAGTTAAAATTTAATAACAAAACCGATACTCAAACTAAAATTTATAAGAAAAAATAATCATATCAACCCATTATTAAATTTGAACAATTTAATATCTTAGTTAAATTTGATATTAAAATTAAAACAATTTAAAGTTTAGAACTAAAAATATCCATAAGTGATATTCGGTATATCTTATCCTTATTTTTATACTTAAAACATTCTTCGCGTATAACATTATTGAATAACTGAAATAAATAAATAAATCTAATGATCAATAGTACTATATAGATCTACAAAGACTACAACTGAAAACCCAGAAATAGAACCCCTTCTCACACAGATCTCTTCATCTTTCTGTTGTTCTTCTATCTGCAAATCAATTCCAGACAGTGGCTGGTTTTCAATATCTTTTCTATTCTTGGTTGTGGTGGTAAAGAAATGAGCAAATCGTTCTAATGATATAAAGTGAAAAAAGAAAGAGAGAAAAATATGAAGGTCAGGCATATAGTCTTGGGTTTGCTGTCGATTACCGTCATTGCTCCTCTTTTATTTTACACTGATAGATTCGGCACCTTCGTCAATCCTCCTTGTATGTAAACTTTCTTTTCTTTTTATGATTATGGGCTTTGTTTTTCATTTACCATTCTTTGACGCTGATTTCTGCAGCAAGACGCGATTTCCTTGATGATGTTGGAGCTTTTGTAAGTTTCTTTCCCTTGGGGGTTAACGATTTTGATTATATAGCATCGTGAAGCACATAATCTTTTTTATTTATTTTTCTTTTCTTGTGCAGACGGTGTCGGGTGATAATACCAGACATCTCAATGTTCTTCAACACCAGGTATTTCTACATAGTAGATTAGTTCCGTATCTTGTTCATGGCAGGAAATTGTTGAATTGGTTTTCAGATCTGATTTCCTTCGATGTCTATTTTTTTTTTTTGCCATAGGAAACTTCCACCTTGAAAGAACCCATTGGAGTTGTATATTCTGGCCAATCTACCGAGTCCTTTCCCAATGGTAATTATTTATTCTGTTGTTTGCTTTAATGGAAAAAAATGTATAAATTCGAATTTGTATTTATGGTGTTAGATTTTTCTCAGTGACGAGGGAACATACATCAACACGAGTGTTTTATGCCACCGAGGAAGAAAGACAACAGCAATTATCTAACCCCATTAGACAGGTTGTCGATCGAGCAACCCACAATCTCACCACTGCCCTGGATTCCCGTCCCAATGCATCTGACATCTCGGTATTGCTTCCCCTATGTTTTTTTTAGCTTTCGCCTACTATAAATCAGCCTGTTGTTGAGTCTTCTCATATTTCCATAGCAGCGTATTACTTGGAATTCCCAGTCTCCAGTGATTTCGGTTTCTGAATATTCCTCTTTTGATTTTATTATACTTGCCTCTCATTTTTATATTTAAGGATTTTGAGATTGTTTTGATACTATCAATACTTGAGTGTCCCCTGTCTGTACTTTGTAAACCTTTGCTGCATATGTTCTTCAATTTTGAATTGCATATCTAAATAGAACATTTATTTGATAAGGTTCATGTAATCTTTAGCCTTCAAGTGATGTTATTCCGTAACCCTTTCAAGCTTGTTGGCACTTTGTGCTATTTTCGTTTACCAATATTGTTTCTCCAAGCTAAGACCAGTTTCTTGATGCTGCCATGTCTCCAGGATTCACAATAAGAGGAAATTTTAGACCTAAGTGTAGGCTTAATTAACAGTTATTGCACCTGTTTGCTTTATGACTAGGCTGTAAAGCTTGAGCAGAAACCAACTCAGCCAGCTCGCAAGATTGACCAGAAAGAGCGTTCAGATAACAAGCGTAACAGACAGACTGAACCAGCAGATGCTCAGGTGTGCCGCCTCAAAGATCAGCTCATCCGTGCAAAATTATATCTCTCTCTTCCATCGATAAAAAACAACCCACATGTAACGAGGGAGCTTCGACAGCGGGTTAAGGAAGTTACACGTTCTCTTGGTGATGCAACTAAGGACACAGATCTGCCGAAAAAGTAACTCTTCTTTCTGAACATAGGATTGCTGCTCTGTATTTAAACTCTCTTGGTTTTTCTTTTCATTTGTCAAATTCCAGCTCGTGCTCCTTTATTTCTTCAGTTTCACCCAAGTCTTTGAAGGATTTTAAAGTAAAATACAGTTTCCACATCACTTTAATTTGTTAATTTTTGCCTCTTTTTCCTTTTGCAGTGCCGTTGATAAGATGAAAGCAATGGAGCAATCATTAGAAAAAGCGAAGCAAGTTCAAGATGACTGTGCCACTGTGGTAAAGAAGCTGCGGGCTATGCTTCACTCATCTGAAGAGCAACTCCGAGTGCACAAAAAGCAGACCATGTTCTTGACTCAATTAACTGCAAAAACTCTTCCCAAGGGTCTTCATTGCCTGCCTTTGCGTCTTACTTCTGAGTATTATAGCTTGAATTCTTCTCAACAGAACTTTCCAAATCAGCAGAAATTAGAAGACCCTCGGCAGTACCATTATGCCCTTTTCTCAGATAATATATTGGCAGCGGCAGTTGTTGTAAACTCCACTGTTTCCCATGCTAAGGTAAAATGTACTCTTCTACGAATACTTAACTCGTACTTTGGTTGTTCATGGATAGAGAGACTGTTAATCACTTCTAATCTTAATTTTTCCATTTCCATTTCATTTTAATCATTTATAAACTTGAGAAGTAAATGTTATATATGTGTGTGTATAAAACGGCATGGTATGTGCATAATGAGATTTGATCCCCTGCTCTTTGTTTACATGTTGAGCTCATCAAATTTACTTAATTCCTTGCAGCACCCTTTGAATCATGTTTTCCACATCGTTACGGATGGGCTTAATTATGTGGCGATGAAAATGTGGTTTCTAGGTAATCCACCTGGGAAAGCCACTATTCAGGTCCAGAACATTGAAGAATTTACATGGTTGAACGCAAGCTACAGTCCAGTTCTCAAGCAGTTGGGTTCTCCTTCCATGATTGAATATTACTTCAGGGCACATCGGGCTAATTCTGATCAAAATCTGAAGTTCCGGAACCCAAAATATTTGTCCATCCTGAACCATCTTCGGTTTTATCTACCAGAGATTTTCCCAAAACTAAATAAAGTGTTGTTCCTAGATGATGATATAGTAGTCCAAAAGGACCTTACTGGTCTTTGGTCCCTTGATTTGAAGGGAAATGTCAATGGTGCTGTTGAAACTTGTGGAGAAAGCTTCCATCGGTTTGATCGGTATCTCAACTTCTCAAATCCCCTTATCTCAAAGAACTTCGACCCACATGCTTGCGGATGGGCATATGGAATGAATATTTTTGATTTGGATGAATGGAGGCGGCAAAACATTACGGAGGTGTATCATGGATGGCAGAGGCTGGTAAGTAACCTTTGCTTAGCAGATAGTAAAGTAGGCTGGTAAGTTTACATTACTAGTCATAATTAGGGATCACCTAATTACACTTGCTAAGACGAAGTTTGTTTGATTCTCTTACCCAGTGTCAAGGAAGTTTAGCAATAGCACTTAAAGTATAAATGAAAGGAGTAAAAAGTGTCATTTCGGGGAACTTGGATATCGAAAATCTTTAGAACCCTAGTTTCCTAATTTTAAAGGACGTGCTACTTGGAGAAAGTTCTTATATTAGATATTTCCCTTCAAACCAAGGGACCAAAGGCCGGTAAGGTCGTCCTTTTGGACTACTATATCATCATCTAGGAACAACACTGTATTCCTTTAAGTGGTGTAATGAATGCTATGCCTTAAATGACGCTTTTTCTATACAATATTATATAGGTACCTCCATTTCTAAATGGCTTTCTATGCTATTGTATATCTTGTTTCTAATTTTGAAGTTTCTTTTACGTGTAGAATCGTGACAGACAATTGTGGAAGTTGGGGACCCTGCCTCCCGGTCTCATAACATTTTGGAAACGCACATATTCCCTGAACAAATCTTGGCATGTGCTCGGGCTTGGCTACAATCCGAACGTAAACCAGAGGGAGATTGAAGAAGCTGCTGTTATACACTATAATGGCAATTTGAAACCATGGTTGGAGATAGCCATACCTAAGTATAAAAACTACTGGGCAAAGTATGTAGATAGCGATGTTATGTATTTGCGAGAGTGCAACATCAACCCGTAGAAAGCCTTCATGGGGACGTTAAAGTGTGATGGTGAGATATGTTATCCATGCATTTTGATGTATCGGGTCGAATTCGTGCTTGTATACATTGTCAGTTTTGCTTTCGATTTTTTGGTTCTTACCACACTGCACGGAGTTGGTGCAACTATTTCTAGCTATTTAATCGGAAATGCAGGTGTATTTGTATATCATTTCATTGGTAATCCCATTTTTTGTTTCTCCATTTGTTCGGAATGGTACAACCTGAAAAACCGTTATCTGCATGCATGGATGATGTAAAAATATCGCTATGCATGGTCCCGAACTCGGCCCTGGACGTGTAATTTTGTACGCTCACACGTCATTAGCTTAAGATAATTAACTCGACATGCAAGAAAGATGCGAGAAATTCTCACCATAGTTAAGAATCAAATCTCCTTGATGTGCAGGATGTAAACGCTTCATGACCATTGACAGGAGGTGAAGTTAAACGGCGGAGACGCTTGTGTTCTTTGTAAGAAACAGCGATAAATGATATCTTCCCGGTGGAATGTGTTCTTTGTAAGGAATAGCAATAAATGATATCTTACCGATGAGCTCCACCGTGGAAGTAGGCCATCCAGGCTTAAATGCATCATCATCGTTCAGGCATGATTACAATCACACTCTGGTTAACCAAACATGAAGGCTTTGTAGATTCCTAATATGCATTATTAGTAGTACATTAAGAGTGAGCCATGAACCAATGGGTCATGAATGCATGTAGAGTGATGATGATGTATGATCATTACATTATAGTAAAATGGATTGTCTTGGAATTCAATAGTGAGATACTAGAAGACATTACAGTAGGCGACAACACAGGTAACTTCTCCATTCCCCAGACAGAAGGTGATGGGTCTACGACTAAAAGACACAGAGTTGAGGCTAAACTCATACCACATGCTGTCCAAAAGTAGTTTCTTATGTAAATGGAAATATAGTTTAATTTCTTGAGGCTTGGCTGGTGCATGACGACGAGTTGCGGACAGTTGAGTCACTCATGAATATTATTATGAAAATTACAAGTCGAGTCCATTCAAATCAATTTTATTTGAATCGAATCTTGTTGAAAAGACTAATTTTTGAATCGAGTGAAGTTTTACCACCCTAGTTGGTAAGCTGTGTTCTAGTCGGATTTATGTATAATATTAATAAATTTTATATTTGTTTTTAAGTTCAATTTGACTTAAAATATGAATTTCAAGTTTTATATAAACGTATTCATATTTATAAATAACCAACTCAAATCCCACTTTTCATCCATATAAAGCCTCAAACCAAATTTGCACCAAAAATCAGCACCACCAGCGTCGAAAGATTCAGTCATTGCCTAGTGATTACTCTGATTATTTCATCATATACATACATCTCTTTAACTCGAGCTAACTATCATTTTAACAATAAAATAACACTCAAAATGACCCTCTCACCTATACCTTTCTGTTACCGTTTTCTTCCAAGCTCTCACCGGCACATGGTATGAGGCGAAAGGATCAGGGGGTGGAGGAAAAAGGATCTAGTGCCTGAAAGCTTAAAACATTGCTCTGCCTAGACATGCCAACCGTTTTGCTTCTTGGCCTCGAATGAGGCTCCATCATTCAACATGTCTTGTGCATCAGTTTCCATTCCAAGCTTGGAGAGGGCAAGAGCTTGCATGTAGAAGGCAGTGGGCCATTCGGGCAAGCAAACCTGAGCCTGCATAGCATCTCTCAAGGCAAGTTCTGGTTCGCCGATCATCAAGTACGAGAGGGTTCTTCTCACGAATACAGTACCAGATGGACCAGGCATCATCGATACCAACTGTATTTGAAGAGGGGGCAAATGAACCAGCAGTTGAAACACAAAACACAAACCAACATATTATTTAATATATCCTGTGAGAAGTAAACAAATCAACTAGAGGAAGAAAGGTACCTTTGTGTAGTACTCGATAGCATTTTTGAAATCCTTGTCTCGAAACGCAATATCCCCAAATTTCTTTGTATTCAACATATCTTGAACTTGTTGTGTCCACTCTTGAAACGAAAGCTTCACAAACACCACCGGCAAATTAGACCATGAGAAGGAAACCATCAGGCAGAACATGAACCTATGAATGTCGATTATTATTTCGTAAATTTGAGAAATCAAAATAGTAACCAAAACCCACCTCATTTTCTGCACCTTCTTCATCTTTATAACCAGTTTTAAGCAAGATATCATGCACTGCAGTAAGGTCCATCCCAGCACATGCCTTTCCAAGCGGGGAAAGCATAGCTGGCAGCACCGGTGGCATCTTAGATAAACCCATTAGAACATGAGATGCAACCTAAGGAAAGCAACGGGAAAGCATTAATTTAGTAGATCTTAAGATGCATCTATACATCACGCTCTATATTGAAATGGCAGTGAGTTCAATGGCTTGAAACTTGTACATCTTTCTGTTTTTGAAGAGGTGTCACTGCTGAAAGGAGGAATTTGATATCAGGTCGATCTCTAGCCTCATACTGAAGGCATTTTGAAGCCAATTCAACCAATTCCCTGGCATCTTCATTAGCATACTGTCCTTCCAGGGAAGAATCTAATAACAAGAATAAATTCTTTCCTCTTAACAAATCCAATGCCTGGAGAATCAAGAGTCACATAACAGTGTTAAAACCGATAAAAACAAAATTGACGGAATATGTAGAAATTTAGTAGAGAAAAAACCAAAATAAATGAATAAATAAGCAGAATATCATCATTAACCAAAAAAGAAACCCAAATGAAAAAAATCACAGTTCCATACTAAGGTTAGACCAAGGATAAACAAGAGTACTCGCATCCTTAAAGGGCTGCAATGCTAATCTGGTTTATGTTTCTGCTGTGTGTGTGCACGTGCATATACATATACATAATAGTTCTATTTTTTCCCTTGACTCATCTCATGGGACAGCGGACAAAACCCAACATTACCTATAGGACTATTCTAGAATAGTATAGTAGATATTTGGAACTTCTATGTTAAGACATTTTGCATTCAGCTAACATTTTATAGATAGTAACTTTCTTGCCTCCCAACATGAAAAACTGCTTGTGAAACTGGCAGGAGACCTTAATTCCTTAATTAATCCAACAAGCTCCTAAATATACAAAACAATACCAGAAGCCTCAGTTCCAGGAGCTTCTTGCATAGTATGAAATCATTTTTGAATTCTAATCACAAGTTCAAATATCAAAGATACAACTTGCCAAGAAACTCATGATTCATTTACATTCTACCAAAAAAAGCAAAATTTCATGAATAAAAACTTCAAGGCAGCATAAGCAGGGAAACAGAAAGAACAAAATTGAATTTGGATAACCGAATGTCTCATACATGGCTGGGAGGGATATGCTTTCCACTTAAGAGATCCAGGAGAACAGTTCCATAACTGTAAATCACACTCTCAGGAACAACCCTGCCTGTGGAGTCAAAAATCAAATAAATTAGCAGTGAAGGGATATTCATTCAGAAATTAGTCCCTTTCCTTTTAAAAGGGATATAATATGTCAGAAGAATTTACCAGTCCTCAAAAACTCAGGAGGAGTATAAGCCAAATTAGTACTATAGCTTTTTCCATCTCGGCTATTTTTCATCAGTCCAAAACTAGATAATCGAGGATCACAATCCTGAAGTAGAATGAAATTAGAAGCTCAAAATAAACAAAAATGTCCAACGTCAATCCTGGCAACTAGTCTGCCTCCAGAGACAAGTTATAAACATAGAGCATATAACAATCAATAATTTTAGTCATGGAGCATGGTAATATGATATCTATGCAGTGGATCCTATTTTCTATTTTGCCAATGCTGTAGTTTATTACTTCATCTGGCTGAATCAATCAATTCCAACATCATCCAAACGACAAAAGCCAAGTTGGCCGCTATGAGTTAAACTATTTAAAGGACTCTCATATGAGTCGGGATTCAAATTCTAAAATGTAATTAAAAACTGCACCTAAATCTCACGTATGAAAGCATGAGGGCAAAATCAAATGTTAAACCATAGAGAATGTTGGAACTAAAGGCTGTGATAATGAAATCCCAACTCTAACTATAGTAGTAATACCAAAAAAGATGTCAACTGACATTTAATTTCCTCCACTTAGCAGCAGAGGAAGAACAAGCAAGAAAAATATCATGGTAAAAAGGGAATGATCAAATCGAACCTCATCGAAAAGAACTCGATAAGCATTTAAATCATGATAAATTTTAAGGTTCTCAGCATTGCAGTGATCAAGGGCTTGTGCAACATGGTAAGCAACTCTAAGGCGCATTTCCCATGGCAAAGGCTGTTTTTCCCCTGCATTGTCCATAAATAAGATACACAAACACTGGGAGTAAAAGAGGGTGCTTTTTGTATTTTGTTTTTCTCTTTAGTAGTAGTAAAGGGTTAAAAGGCAAGAAGACAAAAAGGCATACAGTGGAAGAGGTGCTTAGAGAGGGTATCATTAGGCATATATTCCGCAACCAACAACCGCTCGTCCCCCTCGGCGCAGCATCCGATCAAATTAACCAATCTCTTGTGGCGGACTTTACCGACTCCAGCAGCTTCGTTAACAAACTGGTGTGGGTCGGGCCACGACAGCTTCGAGAACCGCTTAATCGCCACCACTCGGTTGCTCTTCAACTTCCCTCGGTACACCACATTGGGAGCCTTGTCCCCGCTCTCCGACACTATCAGGTCGCTTCTAAAGCCGTTGGTAGCCGCCCGTAGCTCCGCCAGGTCGAATTCCCTTGAATGCCGGCACCGCCGGTTGCTCCCCATTCCCATCTGAAAAACAAAAAAAATAAAGAAACCCATAATCAGGCAAATGAAGATGAAGGGCATGGACATTGGGAGAATGAAAGGACCTAGATCTGGGTTGTTGTGGGATTCAAGAGGAAGAGGAGGAGGGTGATGAGAGGGAGGAAGAAGGGTGGTTTTGGACTGAAAGCAGCCCATCACAGTGACAGTGACAAAGCCTTTTGACACATGAAGTGAATGAGAGTAAACGATAATGAGACACGAAGCAGAAAATAAAGCCAAATCCCAGAATGAGGTTGAACTGTAAGTAGTAGGAGGAGATTAAGCAGAAGAAGCAGAGCAGTCGAAGACAAACACAGTTGACTAGAAATGGAGTTGAAAAGAAGAGGAAAAGGCCACGGCTGTCCAAGTTAACTTCAAGGG